CTGGACTCCACCTTTCATCATGTGCAAAGTGATTTCAGAGCGTCAGGCGGCAATTCGAGAATTCCTCAACCACACATCTACTTTCACCGTTGCCAGCCTGCGAACAACGTCTCGAATCTCATCCTAGTCACTCCACCTTCGACAGACAGCGACCGCAATCCTCCCTCCGTCCCAGCAACTGCACACGCTCTTGCCCGTCTCCACTCAAAGCTCTCCTGCACCATCACCTGCATGCGATCCCGCGCGGAAACGAAGCGAACCTAGACGATCAGTTTGCGATCCGCATCCTTCCTGCACGCCAGCCTAGCTGTTGCTGGCGGACCTCTTCACGACTCGCGTCCGTCGAGATCTTGTAGTATACGGCGGAGGTGAAAGAGAGTCAGTTTGCGGGCCCATCACACATATAACTGTCTGTTGGCCCAGTATGTCTATCAAGTAAGTCATCCTCCCTTCGCTTTCTACACTTTGCTACATTTCATGGCTTCGGAACAAGGGAGCTGTAAAGTCGCGCGTGCTTGCAAGACCACCTGCTCACGCTTGACCAGCTGGGCGATGCTCTCGCCCGAGACCAACCCACCTTTCACACCTCTCCCCAACGAACAGCTCGTCCACACATCGCCGACACGGGTCGATATCTCGATCAAGACTCCCTCACACTACCCGGCACAACAACAGCAACACTTTGAGCTGTCCCACAAAGCGGATGGCGGCGGGAAAGCGTACATCACGAATCGAAGAATCCTCTACATACCCGAGAAACCGACACAACGATTCCAGTCCTTCAGCGCACCCATCCTCAAGATCCACGACTCCCATGTCAGCATACCTTGGTTCGGCGCAAACACATGGTCGGCGCTCGTACAACCCACCTCAGGAGGAGGCATTACATGTCCTTCTGGAGGCGCAGTTGAACTCAAGCTCACGTTCAATAGCGGTGGAGCCTCTGACTTTGGAACGTACTACGAGCGAGTAAAGGAGAAGGCAGCGCAGTGGCTGGAAACAGCAAGGATGAATGGCGACGGTTCCGGAAGCTCAAGAGCAGCTGCGGAGAATATGGCCGTCAACATGGAGGATCTGCCAGCATACTCAGAAGAGAGCGATGGTCCGCTCCTACCACCGACAGCGGTTGCGGCAGCGGCGGCTCAGCAATCGAGTTCGCCTGTCCTCCAGCAAACCCGGGATAGTGGAATCGGTATGGAAGACTCACGGCCGCAACCAAGACCGACGGACAACGCCTTCAGTCCTCCTAGCGAGCCACCTCCGGGATATGAGGAATCTCAACTAGCCGGACTTGAGGAAGAGGTGGAGAGGAGGCGGCAGGATCAGAGTTGAAAGTCGAAATGTGGTTGGTGAAGCGCATGGAAAAATTGTTTGAGGTATTGAATTGTCTTGGAAGCGTGGAGCGTATTGGGCGGCATGATACCATAGCGCTTTTTGTAGCCAAAAGACAGGTCTCTGAAGATTGTAACCGGTACTGAACTTCTGACGATGGCTGTCGCAACCCAGCCCTTATCTATGCTGCAATCTCGTCCCATCGTCCGCAGAGCATAGAAAGAATGCCTGCCGCTTATCCACACATCAAGTCGTACAGTAGACCTCTCATTCACCACGCAGCTAGCTACATGTAGCCAACAGCCTCCGGATCAAGTCAATGGAATTTGCCAAGGCGTAGTCGGGCTATCACTCCGGTATATTCTCGTATTAATAAAATCTGTCAGTGCTATCCTACTATTCTCCATGCACATATGTGACGAGTCGCGCATCACCGCCATTAGCCGTATGCGGAATCATCATCACGAAACTGTATGAAGGCATCAGCAAGACGACCAGAAAGAGACACAAAGCAGCCATGGCATTGCGGCATTGTTGGCTGACCTTTCATATTTCAACAGCTGCCCACCCAGAGCAGCGATGAAATTTTCGCTCCAGCGACTATCGTCCCAGAAGCTGCCAGGACATGCGTTTGCAGCGGCCGCGACGAGTTCCAGAGAGCTTCCGGCCTATGACCGCTGATCAGTTCTCCTCTACGCCGATGGGAGTCAGTTCCTGTGTCATATACCTGCTCGAGCTCCTCGCTACTCGGGACATACTGCCCCAAGTCTGCCAAATACTCCGGCAACACGGGACACATATCGCAGAGAGAGTACAAGAAGCAAAGAAGCAATACAAAAGCGTCGTCTTCCCATCCAGCTTCTCGCAGCTGCTCCGGATTCGTGGTCCCAGAACTCGCGCCGATCCCGTTGAGGAATTCTGCCACCATATTCTCATTCCCACGCAACCGCAGGAGTTCCAGGAGCCCTTCCAAGGTCACCACGAGCGGACCTCTTGGATCTGCTTCGGTAGGGTAAAGCAGGGAACGAAGATAGTTACGCAGACCGCCGGTGATGGAGTCCAGGATTCGGATCTGTCCTCCGCGGTATATCCTTGCCTGCTCCTGTCTTTGGTTGCTGGGTGGTTGAGGCGGCGTGCTCGACTGTAGCTTTGCCAGCTTGGGAAGGAGGGACTGGACAATCATCCGAGTGATGTGTGGAAGGTACTGACGACCAACGTCTGCCGTGAGGTAATGCAAAGGACGCTCAACAAACGAAAATGGGAGGCCGCGCTCGTGGCGAAGCATGTAAACGAGGAGCTACTGGCGTGTGAGCGAACGCAGGATCGCGTGATTTGCTTCCACTCACCTCGAGTAACGGTTCCGGAAACTCATGAAACATGGCAGCTGGTGCTCGAGCATCCAGGACCATAGGTCCGATGGCAAATGTGGCCTTTTCGCTGCTCCATTCTCCATTTGTAAAGTAGCCAGGATGCACACGTAGCAAATCTTCCTGCAGACCTTCCGGTGGTGGTTTCAGAGTCATGAGGATCTTCTCGTTCGGGTTATCTGCAAGACAGAAGCCGTAGCCCAGCAGGAGTTCATCGTTCCGTTTGGGTCCATAATTGTTGAGAACCTGGGAATTGTAAGTACGGCTCTCGACGCTGAGCAGTAAGCGACTTACCTCGGAGCCAGGCTGAAGGATTTCTTTGGTGCTCATGCTGAACTGGCCGGGGTCGAACTGCCAACTCACTCGGGCATTGGGCGCGTGGTTGGCTATATCCAGAACTGGAAACAACACCGGGAAATCAAGCTCTTCCGCAGACGCACGAGACATATCGACCAATGCGGTCTGCCTTTGGCCTTCTGGTCCGGTCTTAAATGCGGCCCAATATTTGCTGTCTTGTGGTCGAATAGCATAAGAAGAAAAGGAGCGAGATGTAAACATCGTCACTGCCCATAGGAACAATTCCCTAAGAAACAATCAAAAACGAACTATATACTTACCATCAGTCGGAAGACTAACCAGGTGTATGGTAACGAGTCAATGTTTGCTTGCTCAATCATCGAAACGCCTGTGGCGTAATTGCGCTTGTGGGCGTCCATTCGACTCTTCGCGGTGTGCAGCACATCTGTATCTTCCAGATATGCCGAGTCTTCTGCGTCGAACCAGAAAGGCGTCCTGTGATCCGCCTTTGGTCCGGGCAATGTTTCCAGATAGTGTCTCCAGAACGATCTTTCACGATTGATGTACTCGTGCATTAGGAAGAAGTACCCTATAGCCTCCACAGGCAGCCCGCGGTTGCGGAATACTGGGAAGGCATCGTCGACCAGCGCATTGAGACTCGACAGTGCCAGAGAATGCGGAACTGTGCAAAGTCGTTCGTCACTGCTGACATTGCTAGTGGTCTTCCAATGAACGCCTTGTGTCTCGTTGTACTGTATGGTTATCATCAGCAAGTCAACAAGTGCCCCCTCGTACCGACCGTAGTGAGACATTGCGTCACTTCACTTGAGGGCAGGCATCCCATGACTTTTTGTGAAGAATTTTCCACATACCTCAATGCTGATGGATGGGTGCAAATACCCACCAGCTCCAGCGTGCCAGCGACGCAAGTCGTCGAGTTGTGAGGCGGAAGCCATTGGGGAAGGGAGATGAATGGTTTTACTTATTACAGACGGGATACATGTAGCTAAATGCCAAGAGCCCGGTGAAGCTCCACCACTCTCCCAGGAGCCGTCATCCCGCTAGTCCCCGTCCTTCTGCGACCAATCGGACTCGGTGCGCTCGGATCTTCGGCGCGACCTGGCCGTCCTTCCGAATCACCTTCACTTGCTCTCTCTTCTCTCTCCAACTCATATGCACATCATCCCGATTGACGCACTCATACGCATCATACAGCAAGCAAGATATTGAGCGGTATACTGCGATACAGTGAACGCAGAGCGCTTCCGAGTGACCGCAGAGCTCTTCCAATTCTCGTCGCCAAAAACACTTGCACCATACACACGGGAGGAAAAATCGGCATGCATAGACTGACTTCCAAGCTATTTCACTCGTTCAATGGGCATTCATCACCCACGGAATACATTCGCTTCCGGCCAATCCACTTTGACGTTGGCGAGCGGAATGGCTCATATCTCGATGATCTGAGCTGAGAAAGCCGCGGATCCAAATGTGATCTTTCAAGGCTCGTGCCGTGGCGAGGGCAAAGTGCAAGAAGGCATCGTCTCTTCCTCAGTCGTTCGATCACAAGGCACTCAGTTTTTGTTCCACCCACACCCAGCGGGTTTGGTTGGACAAGAGTTTCTAAAGAGCAAACGAGCTTCGCGATGGAGCTTACGATACTATATGATTGGGACATACAGTATGTATGGGAGGATTCAACGGCCATGCACAAATCAAGAGAACTCGAGCACACGTTATCTTGGCCTGAAAGCCCGCAAATCAGACATGCTTCTCGACTTCACCGGACGCCATGTCACATCTTCTCAACACGCGGTTATTCATTTCCCTTCCTAGAGCCTCTATGGAACGCAATACTACGCAATGACGACAGCAGAGCAAGGTGATGTCGGAGCGCACAAATTCTTTTTGATGGCTGGCAGGTGGCCTGCAGGATATCAAAACGCCTGCCAGGGATGGGTAAGCCTAGTAGCCTGGGCTTTCCCGCTATATTGCATGTCGAGGTGTGCCATACGTGACGAATGTTGGCTTGCCAAGGGTCGGACCTCGGTCGATGCTTCAACATTCGTGACTGTTTCGACCGAACGGGTCCAAGTACAAGAGGTGTCATGTGCAGAAGACGTTGGGCACGCCACGGTAGGGGTTTCTCCGGCCTTATAAATCGTGAGTAGGATTATCTGACCGACACGCCACTTCCCAGAGCCCCTCAGGTTCGTAGGTACGATCTTTCAAGACCAAAGAATTGACGTTGCAAGGCCTACAGGCTCCATGTCTTTCTTTCCATCGATACAGCGTGCGGCTCGTTATTTAACGAGTCATTCTCGAACTTGCTGGATGACCTCCGACCGAGAGCTCGCCGTTCACCCCCAGCACATCTCAGCTCACACGCCCTGCTACACATCAATACTTTCTTTTGATTCCGAGAAATCGCGTTTGTGTCGAGAAAGCACCACAACCGACTGAAGTTATCGAATCCCTTCAGAAGGGCGGGAGATGAACTTTGACCCGATCGGTCTAATTTGCTCATATGGTTCCAGTTTTTGTTTTGGAGGGTAATGGCGACGGGCTTGCGCAAGTGGATGAGTTCCTGCGATACTCTCACGCTATTGTTTTGGAAATTCACCTAGCACTTCCACCAGCGGCGGGTCGGCGATATTCGGCGACAGCCTCGTACATGATTTCTTTCGAGACTGACCGGAGCTCTACTTCAGCGAGGGAGCAGTTATCTGTTGCGATCGCTCGGCCTGTTACGAGAGTTCAAGCTGTCGGCCAATACCGCCAGAACTTCCACGTTGTCATTGCCGGCTCGAACGGCTACGACAAGACTTTGTTCCAGCAAGCTGAGCAGGTCAGCGGTTACAACGCCGCCGTCAACATCACCAATCAGGCCATCACCAAGGCTCGGGCCTACTACCTCGGCTCCGAATTCTTTGCTGGTCCCTACGACGCCACTCTGTGCGGTTACTACGCTACTGCCCAGACTGCCGCAAACAAGCAGTACGCCAAGCAGAACGGCTTGAAGACATACCAAGCCGCCAACTCCTTCAACGCCTACTACGTCTACAAGAACGCATATGCTCGGGGAACTTACTGCAACCTGTACAAGCAGGAAGTTGATGCTAGCTACGCTGGAAGCGCTGACACCACCACCGGTGGTAACAGCTACACTGTCGGTAGTTCGTGGGTTTACAATGCTAGCCCACAGGACCCAGGCACTTTGTAGATTATCATGGAGTCATCTGTGAGCAAGCGAAGGATAGAGCGAAAAGGTTGTTTGGCGTTGGTCAGAATGTTCTATTGACGGTTACGCTATGATGATGAACGTTAAATATCACGGCCGAAATCCCAGCACACTTTTAATCCCAAGCTTCGACACGTTCTCATTCACTCCCGTGGCAATCGGAGCTCGGCTATATACTGGGCTCAAAATCTTCTAAGGTATCCACCTAGCTGCCCTATAATCGAGGTGGATAGAGAGAAAGGGAGAGAGGCAGAGTCCGACGCCCATTAAGAGTCTCCGTATTCTCCTCCGCCCCATACTTCATATGCATGCTTCGCACTTGCAGCAATTTCAACTCTGTCTTGAAAGTAGCGGCTACATCCGCATCCATTGACTTCCTTTCGTCGAATCAGAGGTGCATGAGGCTGTTCATAGCTTGCGCGAGTTGAGTATCCGTCAGACTCGACATTTTAGCCTCTATATTTTCCATTACGAGCCGTTTCCGCCGCGAGCGCTGGTCATTCTTCCTCTTCGATGTCTTCGTCACGTTCTGTCGTCTGATTTCGCTGGAAAGAGGTGCTTCCTTCCTCTTCTGTCCCGCTCTCTTTGCAAGGATACGCGTCACCTCGATTTCGAGATGATCAAGAAAATTCGGAATCCGAATCAAGCGGTGAGCTTGCCGGGTCGATGCGATCCACATGTATTTCAAATTGGAAAGTCCCGCGAGCAAGCGCCAAACCCGCCTCATCTGCCGTTCATCGACATTTTGAAGCTCAAACTTGATCGTATTGACGCCGTGTAAGAGAGGATAGCATTCTTCGAAGTGGGTGAGATCGAAGAATATCATCCGGTGGGTCCTGTGGATGTAGTGGAAGCTCTCGTGGTAGATTCTGGGGTGCGACAAAATCCAGCTGTAAGATTTTGCTTTTTGCTCTGACACGTGGTGCTCCTCCCGGGGAATGGTAACCCATTCTCTCATGTGGGCGAGAGGAAAGTCATGGCGGGAATGGTCTTCGTTGCCTAGGATGTGGTCGTAAATTTCGAGCCTCAGCTCAGGAGGTAGCGTGAGGAGTGTGACAGCTGGGCTGCGCGAGCCTTGCGCGGCGGAGTGGGTCTGGATCTGAGCCATGTCTTCTGCTCTACGTTGCAGCTGCTTGTTGAGATGACGCAGGTGGTGTCGTTTGTAGATGAGGGGTGCTCTTCGCAGAGTGACGGAGATTCGACGTGATATGTCGCTGATCGTATCGCAACCTTGATTGCGATTTTGTCGTGAGGTCCTATCTGTGGGGAAAGAAGTCAAGAAGTCCTTGAGGTCGAGGATTTATACTGAGTGCGTCCTCATCTTGAGTCATCAGGCGTGGAGCCACCAGGTAATTATTCTCATCGCATTGGGCTTATGTTTCTCCATGACGCTGTACTGTCTTGGCAGTAGCACAGTCAAAAAAGCGTACATACCATTTCCCCTGAGAAAGGTGACTCAGACGTACTCTGCTACATGCTCCAATTCTGGGAAGCAATTCTCGACACCTCTTTCTATGCCTTCCTTGAGGTGGAGGTGGAGCAGTGGCCGATATCCAACGTGCTTCTTAGCTTTCTCGATAGAATTGTACCTCGTCATACAACTCATCCTGACTTTGGTGCTTGTCAATGGTGGCTGCTCATTGTGCGGCCTCGACCAGTAGGTAGCCTTGTGCCCTCGATATGAGAAAGGAAAGGAGGTTGGAACATCGGATAAACGTTGGTCCGGAGATTTCGAGATGCACTCCGAATCCCTCTTGCTTTACTTGTCACTCCTTCCGTCCAACATAAGGTACAACGACGACATCCCTCCTGCAAAGGCCTACATTCCAAGTATCAGGGCACTCAGATGACGGCCTAGCTGAGGTTGGATGGCGCTCGCTAGGCTGGCCCTGCCACAGCATTTCGAATACCGCCGGAGCAGGCGTGAAAATGCAAAACTTCGATTTTGGGATGAGGACAAGAACCTGTGAGGACACTCATCTTGGGAGCAGACTGATCCATATAAAATGCTCTCCGACAGCTACATCTCATGGCCCCCTCGAGTTACATCAGTGTTACGATATCCTACATCATTGACAGCAGCAGGGCACCTACGCGAAAATGCATCTTAGTCTACGTAAGATGGTCGGCGCGGCCATCAGAGAAGGCTTCCGTCTTGGCGCACGACAGTTCTTCCATCAGGCCTCACTCTGGACTTTGGGGACTCTATTCGCCGTCACGGCGCGTGGCAACTCGAAGGAGACACAGGAGAGCAAAGCACGCAGCTCCACGGAACAGGATACTCTTGAGATTCGAAGCGATACTGACCTCAAAAAGGCTACGAGGCAGGGGACCTCGAAACTTACTAACCAAAAGTCACGTATAACAGTGCCTGCTCTTCTTGCTCTACCCACTGAGCTGAGGTTGCAAATCTATCAGTACTTAGCGCAACAGAGATGCCGCAAAAGGCTCAACTTCACGGCGATGAGGAGAATGGAAGAAAGCGCACTCGATGCGCCCCACAACTGGATCTTCACACACCCCCTGATCTTCAACGAAGCTCTACAATTCATCACTCGGATCCAGACCGCCGTGCTCCTCAAAGATGTCAATGATGTCGCAGCTTTGCGCTTGCTCTTCCCCAACCTGCGACAAGTGGTTCTGGATTTCCCTGACGTCTCGGCAAAGCAGATGCAACAGGCCTTGCGATGTCTGAAAGACCTCCCGGGTCTTTACTCGATAATCATCAAAACGTCACCCTGGAACCTCAATGGAGTCCGATTTCCGTATGCCTGGAGGGGCTTCCCAGCGCTCACCGATGTCATCCTCGTAGATGACAAGCTGAAGGCCGAGCGAAAGCGCAAACGACACGAGGCTGAACTCCGACGCGCTCCGATTCTGGAGGACATCGCTCAGAAGAAAAGAGTCTGGGAAGCCATGAAGTCGAGGCACGCGCGTGGACTTCCAACCCCAGCGTTAGGAGTAGCATTTGATGCTCTTGACCAAGCCAAGTCGAAATCGACTGAGCTCAATTCTGCTCTCAATGACGACTTGCATCGTATCCAGCAGAGTTGGCGCAGCAATCTACTGACGAAGCAGATAGCGATTATCGACAATGATCTAGCCAAAAGATGTGGCATGTGCGAGTGTCGCAAATGCCTAGCATGTTTCGAAGTCACTGTAAAACACCCAATTGTCCTGGACTGGATGCACAGGCGCACCCTGTCAGAGGAAGACGTTCTGCGATGGGTGCGCCAGAAAGGGTTGATTTGAGAGATTCAAACGCTCATCAGAATCACGGGTTCTCTCACCGTGACGTCGAACGCTAACTCTGGGCCTTCCTACATCGCACACAGTACTGGACAATGATTATCTCTTGGAATTCCCAGAACGGTATCATCCATAGACAGTGAGTTAGTAATACAGTGACCCACCATGCGCCGTCCCATACGCGGCTGCGGCGTAGGTGAAGCTGGCCGCCCACCTATCTTCCTCCTTGCGGTCTTACAATTTTATCTCATCAACATTCAGTCTAACCTTGCGTGCAGAGAGCAGCCATGACGAAAACACAGCCAATCTACACGCAATTGCCTCATCAGCCAGCTGCTAAGCCACAAGATGAAGGTGATCAAAAGTCATACAATATACGTATCGACGCCGACATCCTGATACCAGGACGAGGCAAGCCTATCAAGAACGGCAGTCTAGTCTACACATCGTTCGACGCCGCATCAACTTCCTCCGCCACCCGGGGGAAAATCACCTACGCTGGTCCCACCTCCTCTCTTCCAACAGATTATGCAATCTTGACCGCCTCATCCAAAGTCCCCATCCTCATGCCGGGTCTCTGGGACTGCCACGTGCACTTCTTCGGCGAAGCACAGCCTAGCCTGGAACACATCGCCCTTCTCCCGCCTTCACTAGCTGGAACGCGTTCGGCTAGAGACGTAGTCGCCACTCTCAACGCAGGGTTCACTTCCGTGAGGGAAGTAGGTGGATACGGAATCGACTTCAGTGCGGCGATTGATGAAGGCTGGATTCCTGGACCTAAGATTTACAGCGCTGGAGCGCCGTTGAGTCAGACTGCTGGGCATGGAGATTTACACACGTAGAATTTGGACTTCTTGCATGATTAGATTAGTAAGTGGAGGGCGCCTTGAAGGCGAAGATGTAGCGAGCTGACACGCCCTGTGGCAGATCATGGATTGTCGCTGGTAGTTGTGGATGGTGTCGATGAGGCGATCAAAGCTGTTCGAAAGCAGATTCGAAGGGGCGCGAAGTCGATCAAGATCTGTTCTACCGGCGGTGTGATGAGTCGGATCGACAGTCCAAGGGCGGCGCAATTCACGTCACCGGAGCTGAAGGCAATGGTAGAGGAAGCAACACGGACGAACATGGTCGTTGCTTCGCACGCGCACGGCACTGAAGGAATCGTGAGTTATCTTGGTCGTTCGTTCGTGGCTTACCTGAGACTGACGAGCCCTGAAGCTGGCCGCCTTGCATGCGGGCGTCAAGACGATTGAGCACGGCAGCTTCCTGACCAAAGAGGCCATAGATCTCATGCTGGAAAAGAAGGCGATGCTGGTAGCAACGCGCTTCATTCAACAGAATGGCGTGGATCATCCAGAGAACATGCCTCCAGACAGCTACAAGAAGCTCCTCGAAGTCGTGGACTCGAACAGGAAGTCGTATGAGATGGCGGTAAGTCGCTTTCTTCTCCCTCTCGTTTTGCCTCTCCTGACGAAAGTCCAGATTAAAGCCGGCGTGAGATGCGCACTCGGGACAGATCTGGGTATGAGTAACATCCAGTCCATGTTCAACCACGGGATGAACGGGCGTGAGTTTGGATACGCTGTGGAGGCTGGCATGACTGTTCTCCAAGCCATCGAAGCCGGGACGGCAAACGCCCCGGACACCTTGGGACCGCAGGCGCCGTTGTCTGGACAGTTGAAGGAAGGGTTCGATGCTGATTTCATCGCCTTATCCGAGAACCCGTTGGACGACATCGCAGTCTTGGCCCAGCCGGAGAAGGTCACCCACGTCTGGAAGGGCGGTCAGCTTTTCAAATCACCAGGCAAAGCAATTGGCTTTGTTTAAAGTGTTGATATGAATAAGTCATGTATCAGGGGAGCCATAGTGGTGGGTGCATGAAGTGTCCAGCGGAGCGGTCGTTATTGCTTCATGGATTCTTTCTGCAATGCATGCTACTCCTGAGTCTTTGAGATGAGAAGAACCTTTGCGCTGGGCCCATTAGCCGTCAGTTGCCGGTTTGGGATTGGCATTCATGTAAGGCGCATGTGCAGGTGACAAGAGGATACGAGGTTCCCCCTAGAGGAAGAAGTATAGTCCGATCAAGGTCCGAGCGTCACTGTCTTGGTGATCACTATCTTATTAGTGGTCACGCTGGCGGTGTACGTGTGTACGTAAGGTACGACCTGAGTACGGAAAGGGAACGGGAGAGCTAGCCGGGATGGAACTCCACGTTACCTCAATAACAACACCAAACACAAAAATGCGCCGTGACTGAAACTCTTCGTCTGTCACACCTCACCCTCCGATGCGACAGCGCTTAATAATACGCCAATCTCATCCGCAGTACACCGAGAGAGTCGTGCCTGGACGCGTTTTCGAGGAGTCTATCTCTACTTCGCCTTCGCTGCCCATTCTGTCTGAAACTACGGACTTTTCTTCCTGCCCCAGCCTTGTCATCGGACTTCAATAGCTCAACTGATGGAGCCGTTGATGAATTGCCGCGGAATCGATTCTGGTCACAGCATGCGCCCAAGAGCGACCGACCCGCCGCGTGTTTTACGTGCGGTTGCACAGCACAGTGCAGTATTTATATGGCCCGAGTAATGGCCCAACATGCACGACATGATGCACGACACGACATGATAATGGCTCTTTTATAGAGTAAGTATATTCAGGCGGTCGCGTCGAGCCTTCTCAAACCCACGGCGTTCCACCACCACAGCCTAATGGTGAGCCTGGCCAAGTTGTCCATCCAAGATCTACTACCTTATTGCCCTCGTTACCCACCAAAAGAGCGGTCCGCCCGATGTCAGAGCTGTGCTCTCGCATCTCCATCAATCCCTTCTGAGGCTCATCTGTGCGGTGCTCTCTCCGGTGGAAAGCGACGTCCTCGCGACGCCAGCCAGCTCAGACGAAGGCGAATGACTTGTCCTATATCCTGCTGCTACCATCACCAACTGTTTTACATGGTTGTTCCCTACAACTAGTCAGTAAAATAATCATTTCCCGGCCACGGCCTTGCCCCCTCCGCGCTTGATGATGCGTCAATGCCCAGAGCGAACTGCAGAAGTGGGCGCCTGTCTAAAGAACCTTTCTGCGCCTTCGACTTCAAGGCTTCGTTTCGATAACCGGTCAGCCGGTCGCGCAAGGACACTCAGACACAACAGACTGAGAACGTCTTTCGCGAAAGCAGACGGCGACGATGCCAGGCAACATCATCAACCTGACACCGGCAGAAATAGCCAAATGGCCGCCACCAAACTACGACAATCCCGACCGAAGAAGATGGATGCCAGCGTATGCAGGAGCTCTGTACGGCGCTGCCACGATCATGGCCGCGCTTCGAATATGGTTGCGGTTCCGGAAACAGGCTGGTGGACTCGGAGTTGACGATGTAGGTTGCTTTCATCATCGACATCATGTAAGCTGACATTCAGAAGGCTTTCTTGATTTGTAGCTGGCTATGTGTAACCTGGTTCACAGTGCTTGGCCTTATGAACGCCGAAGTGTACATGGCGGACCGACACGTTTGGGACATTCCTCTGCATTACTTCACTCCAATGGCGCGGACTACTTGGATCGCGGAGCTGGCCTTTTTGCTCACAGGTTGCTTTATCAAAGTGTCGGTATTGCTATTCTACCGCAGACTGGTGGAGAAGACATGCTCACTTTGGGTAAGCAGTCCAAGCAGCATTAAAGCTCGTACTGGCTAACGATGCTGCAGTGGGTTCGGTGTGTGCTTGCAGCGATTGGCTTCACAGTCGCCTATACATTGGCCTTTGTGCTAGCATTGATCTTCAAGTGGGTACAGCCACAGTCCATGCAACCGAGATACACTTGCTTACGTCTATGTACGTTAGTTGCACGCCTACCGAAGCCTATTGGATGTCATTCGATATCGACTATACGAAAGAGTATACTTGCGTTGATACGACAGTCATCAGCCTACTGGCCGGCATCGTGGCTGTTATCAGCGACCTGATCGCTGTGGCGCTACCCTGCATCATGATGCGCAACCTGAAGATACCGCGCGCTCAAAAATTCGCCCTCAATGGAATATTCTCACTGGGACTGCTGGTCGTAGCTGCAAGTGGCGTGGTATGTATAGCGCAGCCGCGGAAATCGTACACTCTCGACTGACTTGATCGCAGCGGACCTACCATCTATGGGGTATATTAGACTATACCATTGCACAACTGAGCGAATTGAATTGACGTCGAGACAGAATGCGGACGTACCGCCGACTTCAGCTCCGAGATCTTCAACGTTACCGTCTGGTCACTGCTGGAACTTAACCTAGGACTCATGTGCGCATCTGCACCAGCCCTCCGAGTTGTGTTTCGCGAATACATCAGCGAGCCGCTATCCAAGCTCAAACGCTCCATTCTCCCTAATCGCAACGGCGGAGACTCAGACGTTGAGCAGGTCATCATTCACAGGATCGACTCTCCCACAGAAGCTCTACGGCGCGACTTTCCTGGCAAACTTACACCAACGTGCTCCTTCTCCAGCGGCGGGGTGACCGCCGTCAATACCAACATCAGCGAATTTCAGGAAGAGACGGTTACACCGCATAAGGCTTGGGATGAGAGGCAAGATTCAGTCCAAGCGAATTCACCTCACGTCAAGACACCTGCCGACTACGAGCACTACAACTTGCAAAACATGGAGAAGTACCGCCAGTCCGCTCAGCGACACGCGTCCCGAGGCCTAAGCATAGGTGAGGAACACGAGATGAGTGATATGACTGGTCGTAGCTGGCTATAATCGCGAGGATCGTGGACGTTCCAGTCGACGACGACGTTAATGAATTTCGACACCACCCAAGCAGCCTCAGGGCCACGGTACCAATCCTCTGAGGAACGATATATATTGGATGCACCCCCAAGGGGCCCTCCCTGTGCCATACCGCGTCGAAGTCTCCGAGACCTGGATTGATTACTATGTGAAGGTTCAGCCCTGAAAACTGCGCAACCGAAGTTCGCCAAGTCCTGAAATGTTGGTTCAGCCAAGCTACTGAGTTGCACCGTCCTAATGGATACTGGCATGGCGGCGAAATACGATTCAGCTGCTGCTGTACAAGTCTGCGGCCCTCAGGCCTGGATGCCGTGGAGATTTCGAGGAAAGGAGGGCGCTCCGATCGCTCGGACACGATACTCGCCTTTGTCGCCATCCTCAAGTCGTGCCGACACGACTCGCTCAGGCTGTATATGGAGAAGGCACTTCAAAGGCTAGTTCCTGATCAACGACATGGGGGACCAGACGGCGCGAAACGCTCGAAGGGCCTTCCGATTCGCAAACGCACGAACGCTTAGGTGGTGCCAGCAATCTCAGCTGCCGGATGGTATGAAAATGCAACGAATGTAATGAGGAATAATGATGAGAAGATGAGAGGGAACAGGACCGTCAAGCTAGACGGGACGACCAGTCGCGTAATACCTCCAGGATCTCTCTTTTTGCACCCTCTTCGACGCTGGAGAGACACTGTACATATACCACTCAACCTCTTAATGTCTGCCGTAATGATACCAGGGAGACTTTTTGTCTGCTTCGAGGCTCATCAAATACTATACGCCAACTGCGGCAAGCTCTACACGACCTAACGTGATTATTCAGACCGTCAGGCCGACAGAAGTCTAGATACTGCATACTCTTTTCCATGCCAACAAGTGGATCTCCTATCAGTCACATGTCGCTCCGGAATTTCTCTCGCAGGGAAAAGGCTCGGGCACAATCGGAGAGCCCCACGAAGACGAGCCGGGAAACCAAGTGCCCCGCGCCCCCGCCATCGTCACTGCCCAGTGCGTTTTGAGACTCTGCGCATAGCAACGGTCATCCTCTAGCATTGCCGCGGCATCTGACAAAGGTGGAAAGGAAGAATAAGACATCCACATCGCGCCCGTAGCCGAGAAGTACTCGCGTGGCCGTCCATCTTCTTTTCCCTCTTCTCATCACCCAGACGAAAGACGCAGCCAGGTCTGCCAGGCCCCCGGTATATTAAGTTTCCTTGCCGGCTTTCCTCTACTCCACTTTTTGATATCATACCGGAGACGGAGCCCTGTGCTCGAACTGGATCCTCGTTGTCGCTGAGCTGTGACGTTTTCTCATCTGGTTTGTTTTCTCTGTTGCAGTTCCAGATCATACATCTTTCGCACCAATTCTCCACGCGACGTTCTTCAAGCTCGGAGAAAACGGCCCAAAATGAGCAACGGCGCCTATGGAAACGATGGAGGCGCGGTCGGCCGGGAGAGCATCAACACGGAAATCGTCACGCTTTCCAGGTATCTGTCTGAAGAGCAGACGAAGCACAAGGAGGCAACGGGAGACTTCACGTACGTTGGGACTTACAGAATGGGTCTGCTTGCTTGAGGAGGGTATCCGCTGACCATCTCTCGCTCTGTGTAGTCTGCTCTGCCATGCTCTCCAATTCTCCTTCAAGTCGATAGCGTATTACATCCGCCGCGCCTCGCTGATCAACCTGTCTGGACTCGCTGGCTCTTCGAACACTACGGGAGATGACCAGAAGAAGCTTGATGTGATTGGAAACGACATCTTCATCGCCGCCATGCGATCGAGTGGACGTGTCCGCGTGCTTGTGTCGGAGGAGAATGAGGAGGCAATCGTTTTCGATGGAAACCCCAACGCTCGATACGCTGTTGCTTGCGACCCGATTGATGGAAGCAGCAACTTGGATGCCGGTGTCTCTGTCGGTACCATCTTTGGTATCTATCGACTCGAGGAAGGCGCCAAAGGCACGAAGGAGGACCTCCTCCGCCCGGGCACAGATCTCGTGGCTGCTGGTTTCACCATGTACGGTGCTTCGGCCCAGCTCGTCTTGACCATGAAGGGCGGCCCGGTCAATGGCTTCACCATGGACAACGCACTCGGCGAGTTCATCCTCACGCACCCGAACATGGACATGCCGAAGAAGCGCGCGATCTACAGCTGCAACGAGGGCAACAGCAAGTACTGGGAGGAGCCCGTGAAGGAGTGGTGTGAAAGCCTGAAACAGGCAGAAAAGCCGTACTCGGCGCGGTACATTGGTTCCATGGTGGCTGACGCGTATCGGACGCTGTTGTACGGCGGCATTTTCGCGTATCCCGCGGACAAGAAATCGCCCAAGGGCAAGCTGCGAATTCTCTACGAGTGTGGACCAATGGCTATGGTGTTCGAGAATGGTAAGTCCAGATGGCATACTTGTGTCTTGATACCACCAAAGAGTGCGTCGATGGCTAACACGAGTTGCAGCTGGCGGTCAAGCAGTGGATAGCAAGATGAGGCGTATGGTGACGGTGGTCCCGGAGCACATCCACGACCGAAGCGGTATCTTCTTGGGCAGTTACGACGAGGTGCAGAAGGTGATTGACATCCACAAGAAGCACGGAATCACGGCATGAGCGTGTTGAAGAGAGACGAGATTGGCGGAGGGAGGAAAGAACAGTTCTGTGTATATCGCTGACAGGGCACTTGCATGGATCGCTGAGCATTTAAGCTCCAACGGCAATGGCATGCTCGGGTTCGGGACCCATATCAGTTGTATTGGCCCAAGTTATGTTTCAGTGCCACTTGCTCTGTCTTGACTTCTGGTCTTTCGTTCCCTCGATACGGCCATGTATTGGCATCTCGTATACCGATTGTTGCTGTGGCTGTGCTGTGGCTGTGGCTGGCGGTTCGCCCCTTGAACGAAGTCCGGGATGGTCCCAGGTTGCAGGGAGGGAGAAGAAGGCCCTGAGCGCCAAGCCGCGCGTCGTGTGGTACTGGGGACCGGTATACGCTGTGTGTCGAAACACGGGCTGGAGAATGAGGGTGAGCGGTCAGAGCCATGTAGTGTGAGTGGAATGAGAGCGACTGTGGACGTTGATGAGGCAGCTGAGATTGAGGAGGGCCGAGCCTCAAAGTCTCGTCACGCCATGCGCGCCAACAAGCACTTGCTCAGCGTTGCTCACCTCATCCATAGCCTGCCTTACCGTAGTCTAAACAATGGCTTCATCCTCCCCCACAGCTCTGTATAATCCACTCGCCATTGGCATCGCCGTCGGGCGCAGAAGAGGCACATGTCACGATGCGTGATGCTTTGCCCACAACAACACCGAAGCTCGTATCTCGTCCCGCACCACCCGCCCATCCTCAGGCAGCACCTGGCGCCAAAGTCGACCGCTCCTCCGCCTCGTACTTTCTGCACAGGATCGCGATGGTAGACTTTGGTAAGTATGCCTCCTGCTCGCAGAGTCCGCTTCGCCAGCCACCTAGTCATGTCAGAATCGCTCACCATGCTTCACGCAGGCTTCTGGGGCGATCTCGCCCTGCGAACTTGGGTCAATATGAATCCCTCGACACAATGGGCAAATCATCAAATTGAGCCTTACAGAGGCCTTCCGTTCGGGACATATCTACATTCGGCGCGTCCTCGACGACAGAGAACGCTGACCGGTCCTCTCGATCCCTCCCACGAGTCACTGTGGCACAGGGTCCAGATCATGTCCGCCCTCGAGCCGGAGCAGCGGACGGACGAGCAGTCGGACTGTGGCTTTCTGGCCAAGCTACCCTTTGACATCCGCATCATCATCTACGAAATGATCCTAGGCGGAAAGGTGCTTCACCTCCAAGCGCCGAGCCAGAAGAGCCGCATCTTGCACTACATCTGCAAGCACCCCGACCGGATCGATGAGGCTCGTATCCATCAGGACTGTTCAGAGTACTCGACCAAACGGCCGTCGTTCGCGCCCCGTGAAGACTATCCGCAGGCCAGTGGCTTGTTACCCCTCCTGGTCACCTGCCGCAAGGTCTATTCGGAGGCCATCAACACGCTCTACAGCGCCAACACGTTCGAGTTCAACCAGATCTTCGCAGCCTTCACGTTTCTGCGGTATATGATACCGCCGCAGCGCCTGCACTCCTTACGCCACTTTCGCCTCCATCTCCGTATCCCAAGACATCCAATGCTGAACAGTCGCGCAACTCGCGACTGGCAAGACCTATGGACGTTCTTCAGCGAGGAGACATCCGGCCTGCAGAGCTTGTACCTCCAGCTTCTCATGTTACAGCCCATGGAAGCACATATCGAAACGACTGCAGATGATGAGGCCGACGCGTGGATCCGGCCGATGGTGTTGATGGCGGTCGGTGCACACCATCGACGCGGCTGCAAAGTTGAAATCGGCACCAGGAATGCGAGACACGAGCCGGCGAAGATTTTGATGGATGTCACGAAGGCGAATCCCGACGCAAGCTCTGAGGAGGCTCTACGACTGACCTGTGCTGCCCTGCACGAGCGCATTCGACTTTCTTTGGGCTGAACGGTTGACAGGGGATTGCAATCCTCGCTTGTTGGAAACTCCTATGAAGTGCGGCTCACGTGAAGGGCATGGGCAATCGTCGACAACGCAAGTGAATGGCTAAGGACGCGTCTGTGCTATTACCTCGAGTTCTTACCCTTCGACCATCATTCCGAAGACCCCCCACCCCTATCAAACGCCGCTCACACCACCAACACCATCGACACCAGAAACACTCCACACTACACCGAAACACTCTCAAAAGAATCACACACTCAAGACTCCAAATAGCCAGCAAAGATGGCGAACGCGACTCATTACCAGCTCCTCCGTATCAACCGCGACGCGCCCACATCCATCGTCCTGGAGGCGTACGAACAGCGAGTCAAGAACTACAATGCCGAGCATATGATCTACGGCGAGCCGACCGCCAAGGACAAAGAGAAGAAAGAGAGGGGCCTCGCGGAGCTGCACGCGGCCGTCAAGGTCCTCACCCACGGGATCTCGCGCGAGAAATACGACCGTCGCCTACGCGAGCTCACCGCCTCACCTACCATCCCACGCGCCTCCAAGAACCAGCATCCTCGTTTGGACAAGTCGCGCCACGACCACTACGACCTCTACCCTGATACCTGGATCGCTCGCCGCGATGGTCGTGTCCGCTCCGACGGGCAGAGCTGGGCCGCGCCACCTCCTCCCCGCGCACCCGCACGCCGCCGTCCTTCGCACTCTCGCTATGCTCGTTCTCGCCCTGGCGTTTCTCGCCATCCCACGCCACAGAGCTACGATCACTACGAGCCGTACGCGAACAAGCAGGGTGGACGTGGGTTTTCAGCTCGCAGCACGCACGCACCAAGTCTGAGAGCACCACGGCTCGGCTAGACAAAGAAGCATCTTTTCGTTTTTGGAAAAGTCATCTGCTTCTTGAGTATCCTTGCGAAAACAGGGGCAACGGCTTGTTGGACAGCGGCGAATCCAGCTGCAGTGCCCGTCGAGATTAATTTTCAAATTCGACAAGATGCTGTGGCAAGCACCGTCGGCAGAAGAAGGAGCAGGTTATTCAGGGATTGTTGGAGCGGCATGATGTTTGGCGGATGGAATGAGCTCAGAGGAACTGAGCTCTAGAGGGCTGCAGGAAAAAGAGGTATAACCTGAGCGCAGACAAATATGAGCAGCGGACTGAGGATGACAGCGGGTTGTTCAGGGCAGCTGATGTTTTCTGGCGGGCCTCCACAGCATAGAATGAATGAATGAATGAATGAATGAATGAATGAATGAATGAAAGCGAATCCCCAAATCTTGGCGCAAAGGCATCCTCCATGCCATCAAACCTTTTCGATATGTGTTATACATCGTCGCTATCCACCGCGTCTCCCGTCCTTCCCCTGCTCTCGATTGATCTCTCTCTCAACTCCCTCGACCTCAACATCAACCCTTCATTCCCCCGACATGTTCATTCAAATACTGCACCAGATCCTCAATCGTCACCACTTTCAAGCCAAACCGCCTCGCGAAAGCCAAACATCCATCCCGTCGCATCATGCCAATCTGGCCCCTCAGTTCCGCCGTTCCGGGCACTTCCTCTCCATCTTCGACCATTTCCGCAATCACCGCCACGGGCTCCTTGCCCGCTAGTTTACAGAAATCCACCGCCGCTTCGGTATGGCCCTGTCGTGCTCTCACGCCCCCTTCCCTCGCCTGCAGGGGCACGATATGGCCCGGTCTCCGGAAAGACTCCTTGGTCTGCGTTTTCGGGTCCGCGAGCCGACGGCAGGTCAGGGCGCGGTCGTGGGCGGAGATGCCCGTGGTTACGCCTTCGGAGGCGTCGATGGTGATGGTGTAGGCGGTGCGGTTGGGGTCGGAGTTCTGGGTGACCATCTGGGGGAGTTCGAGTTTGGCGGCGAGGGAGGGCGTGATGGGCGCGCAGATGTAGCCGGACGAGTAGCGGATCATGAAGGCTGCCTTTTCGGGCGTCAGGTCGGAGGCGGCGATGATGAGGTCGCCTTCGTTCTCGCGCGAGGTGCTGTCCATTACGAGAATGAAGTTGCCCTGTGCTGGAGCACGACGGACGGTATCGTTAGTGGGAGGGTTGTCTAGATTCGGCTGAGGTGGGAGTGGGAGAGGTCATACCGAATGCTTCAACGGCATCGGGGATGGTATCGAAGGCGACGTGGCCATTGACGTGCGGCGTCGACATTGTCGTCGCCGGCTGGTATAGTGATCGTATGAGTCTAGCACTTCTCTCCTCCCTCCACGAAGACGGACCGGAGTCGCAGTAGATACGGGCAGGGCAGGTCTCTTGATGGAGGTAGCGGAGTCGAGTCCAGGTCCAGGTCCAGGTTCTTCGAGAAGCTTAGCAGCAGGCAAGTTCCTCTAATCCGTCTCCGTGTTCAGGCATTCAATGGTCAATTAGTCGGTATTGGTCTGTCGTGGGAAGGATGCCATTTGAAAGCGGCTGACGGGTGGTGGTATAAGGCCATGGTTGGACCGCGAGTCTTATGAGTCTGTGGGCAAGATCTAGTTCGTGTTAGTCGGTGGTGGGCAAGTGGGGTCTTTCACGAGACCGTTCAATGTCGGTGGCCTCGGTCCGATGCCTCCGACCACATCCGACCTGCTCCTTGCCGGCCTCATCTCACGCAGACATGATGGACGACTTCACCTGAACCATCTCTCGCGAATTACATGTACCGTATGTCTGTACCCGCTAGCAAAACGATTCATCTCTCATCTCCGTCCCTCTCCTAACGGATCAGACCGCCTCAGCAATGCTATGAATCCCGTCCCGCCACATGAAGATCCTTCTTGACCGACAGCAGCAACCACGAATCGTCGGTAGTACTCCACTCAGTAAATCCAATCCGTTTCCAATGCTTCGTCAACTTTTCTCCCGCGTCTCCTTCGCGATGGTGTTCGCCAACGGCGCCAGCTTGGAGCATGACGACCGTCTCTGCAGGGACTTGCAGTTTTGCGATTGCCTGTCGAGCCTCCACATTAGCAACTGGAACATGGCGCTCTCCTTGACATGACAGGCATACCGTCTTGACCGCGTCCAAGCTCCACCCATAACCACGAAACTTCGGCAACAACACGACTTCTTCGATGTAGAGGATGCACTCGGCCTTGAGGATCATGTTCGCCTTGTCCTGCCGGAATGCCTCGTTCGAGATGAAGTTCTCGATCTTCTCCAATTTCCCGCCCAGATGGTATTCGTCGTAGGCCCGGCATTCCTCCCACATGCCCTCGAGATCCATTTCGTTCTTGCCGAGGACGTTCATGTGGATGTGGCCGATCGACTGCTTCTCGAATGTGGGAACAATCTCTGCATTGAAGGATCTGATGTTCGCGTGTTTCGACTGGCAGGCGTTGCCGTTCCTACAGCCTCTGTGCTCCAGCTTGATACGGATGGACATGGTGGCGATGAGCGGATATCGGTGCTAGCAAGCGTAACGATCGCCCGGCGAGATGTTCGCAGAATAAGGTAGGTTGGCGGAGAAGAGATGGTTGTTCGGAGGTGAAGTCGCAAGCGAGGGAAGAATTCGCGCCTCTACCAAAAACAGCAGGAAGCAGTCACGGTTCTCCCCGTCGAGGAAGGACCAAGATGAAAATGGCAAGTGCCCTCGAGCTTGCTGCGAAGAGGGCTGGATGCTTCTTCTGTCAGCAACGCGTTCTCGAAAGGGCGACAACCTGCAGGAGGACCACTAGACACGACTCGGCAAGACCCAATAGGCCAATGAATTGATGCTAACATGCGCTCTAGGTATTGCAAGTTGTACTGCGCGTCACGAGCTCGACACATATGCGTCTCTGCATATGCCATTGCGTGCCGACAAGACCCTCACGATACACGCCCCCCTAGCCCGTGAATGTCGACAGCGAGACGGAGCCATTCACCCCATTGCACGTGTACACGCGCGACATCTCGAGTATATAACCGCCGGCAGCATGAATGGATTCGAAAGATTCAACACCAACTCCGCCTCGCTACGCTCCGTCACCAACAGTAATTCAGAGACTCGCACATTGCCTCCCACACTCCCAAACATATACCGAGAAAAACAACCCACGATCCCACGACTGCCAGCCAGCCACTACTACTATGGACTGGAAAACCGCCCTGACCGCCGACCTGCAGACCCTCCACGAAATCTCCCATCGCGCCAGGGCAAGCCACGTCGATCCCTCCAACAGCGGCGGCGGACAGCAGACCCCGTTGTTCATCGACACGCCTCCTCCCCAGAAAACCAAAGAGCGCAGCACCGCCACTCCCCTCCCAATCCCCACAACATCTGCACCTGCAGAGGCGGTCTTGGCTTCCTTCCGCTCTCTCCCACCAGCAACACATTATGAACATCCCGCCCATCAAGTCCTCCGTTCCACCGCGCACAAGCTGCAGGCTCTCCTCGAGCTGTACCTGCAAGCCTACGAGGGCGAGGATCTGGACAAGGCGGAAGAATTGCGGCGGAGATTGCATTGGGCGGTTGGGGAGGGGGGGAAGTAAGGCTCTACACAAGAGGGACTCTAGCTCTCTCTCTCGGATGGAAGACGTAGAACGATAGCGAAGCTGCGCGGAATTCGTCGTGTTGAAATCGCCATGGACTTGGTGTTGAGACACAGTCTTAGAGACAGAAGCTTTACATCAATAATCAACATTGATAGAACTACCTACATTCACATGCTCGGCCCCTGACTTCTCATATGCCAGCTCGAGTCCAATTACACATTCAGCCCCTTTCCATCCGGATCCACGCACTGATATAGCAACAACAGAAATAAAACGCTACAAAAAAATCATCAATCTACCTCCCCAGCGCGAAATTCATGTCTCGGATCTCCTTCTTCTTCGTGCACGCGTTCCCTCCCACCCTCTTCCAGCAGACTGTCCACCCTCCCGACCCCACTCCGATAGCCATCCCGCCGCTCCTCTTTCATCTGCTCGAAATCATCAAACATGCTCTCAAACGAATGCTCCACCAAATCCAAGGAGAGCGTAAAATCGCTCTCGTGGGAAACGCCGCGGATATGTTGAGAGCTGCTGCTGCCGCCGCCGCCGCCGCCGCCGTCCAGGAGAGCGAGACAGCGACTCTGGCGTTTCAGGGCCCGTTGGAGATAGCTCGGTGGGCGTCGATGGGTTTCCTTCTGGCGCGTGGGAGGTCTCGGGGGAGGGTGGATTTCGTCGACGAATTCGATTGCCGCGCGGGGGAGACGGTTGAGGATGATGAATTCGTGCCTTCTGTGCTCCTCATCTTCGATCTCCAATTTCTGAATCGCTTTATCGGCCCTCATCACCACGATCCCCTCTTTCCTCATTCCGGCCGTGTGGATCTTGTACATCTTCACGACACCTCTTCCCTCTCTTCTCCTGTGCCCTCCACTTTCTTCGATCCGCTGCTCGTTTGCTCGCAGGGATGCCCACTCCCTCGCCTCGCTTTCCTTCCCAAAGAGACTCAGGAAGTAACTCTCCCCTCGGGAGAATCCCCATCTCAAATGTCGTGCCAACGCGCTCTTGAACTCGTACGAACTCTCCGGGGTTTGGTCGTTCAAAGCCGCATTCAAATTTCCCCATTGATCGAATCGCGCTTGAGAATTCTCATGTTGGATGCGGTAGAGGTATTTCGGTGGATGTTTGCATCGAAGGGGTTCGAAACTTTTAACTCGGTCGTTGTTTTCCCGTTGTCGAAGGCCGCAGAGTGGCATGATTTGAATCAAGTCGATTCGTCGTTCGTTATTGTGGCATTGGGAAGGGAAAGTATGCGTATCTATCCGACGCGAAGACGTCGCATACTTGGGCCGTTGGTTGATATTGACTCTCGGGTGTGATGGAAAGTGTTTCAATATTGTTCTCCGTTTCGAGCTCGTTCGCGTTCCCCTGTCATGAATAGACTTTCCCCTTGATTTCTCATCCGGAGAGACTGGGATCATGCTTGGAAGGAGCTGGTATTAGTCGAGATAACAACCGGCAAGTAGAGAGCGTGTCGATAGTAGATTTCGCATCACATTCGCGTCAAAGGGCTATACTCTGCAGTGTCATCTTCAGCTATCATACGACCGCTCTCAAGCTGTTCATCCTTGCACACGTCACCTTCCTCCCTTTGTGATCCTCCGGTCAACCCCTCAGGCATCGATTAATCTACTTGAATCTCTTCTCCGCCGCCTTCCAGTTGATGACATCCCAGATAGCACCGAAGTATTCGGCCTTCCGATTCTGGTACTGCAAGTAGTACGCATGCTCCCACGCGTCAATTCCCAGCAGAGGACGGAACTGACCCACGACGGGGTCCTGATTGGCGTACGTCTTGATCTGAATGGCGCCGGTCTGGGCATCCTGAACCAACCAGGCCCAGCCAGAGCCCTGAATGCCGGCGAGAGCAGTGTTCATCTGCGACTTGAGGTTGTCGATGGAACCGAAGTGCGAATCGATGGCTTTGGCGAGGCCACCGCTTGGCGGCTCGCCTCCGCCTTGAGATTTGGGGGCGAGGTTCTCCCAGAAGAGGGTGTGGTTGGTGTGGCCACCTGTTCATCCCAATAAAACGACATTAGCCTCGTCTCTTCTGTTACTGTCTCTTATCTCGTCTCCTCCAAGATAGCTACGCACCTCCGTGGAAGTTGATCAATGGCTGGATAGCAATCTGTGTCTGGATATCGCTCTTCTGCTGTGCCTCCTGCAGCTTCTCAATCTGAGTATTGTAGGAGTTGACGTAGGTGCGGTGGTGCTTGTCGTGGTGGAGCTCCATGATTTGGCCCGAGATGGCCGGCTCGAGCGCGCCGTAGTCATCTATCGATCATCGACACATTAGACCCCATTCTTCCCAATCACTTGACAGCCGGCTCTTCTTACACGGCAGGTCTGGCAGCGTGGCCTTTCCGCGGACGAAGGTGGTGCTGGCGAGAGCAGCTCTCTTGGCCGTCGACGGAGCAGCGGATCGCACGGCGGTGCGCAGAGCGCTCTGGCGGAGGAGTGTAGAGGCCATTGTGGTGTTTGTTGGCTTGTTGATGGATTGCAAGAGCAAACACAATCGACCAAGGTTTCAATTGCTTATGACCAAGGGCAAAAGATGTGGATGCGGAGTAGTCCAATGGACCTGGAGCTTTGACAGTGATGTCAGTCTTTTGCTCCGTCGGCTTCTTCCGCTTCAGCGCCCACCGAGACACGTAAGACTGATGCATGTGAAGAGGAGAAATATTGATCGAGAAGGGCACGCGATGTATGCTAAAGTAATCCATGACCCTGTCTACTCATTCCGCAGAAGAGCATCGCTCAATTATTGGCCAGCAGCGTTGACACAAAATGCTCTCCCTCTCTCTCTCTCTCTCTCTCGCTCGCTCAATTAAACTGCATACTCAAAACCAGAAACCGCAATGAAGTCGTAAAGTCGTAGGCTGTTTGTTGGAGTTGGCTTGCTCTCTGCTTACATTTCGCCTGGAGTCTCTATGGCCGTCGCTTGTAGGTGGTATCGCAAATCCATTCGCGCCCAAGAATGACATGACTCCGTCGCTTTGTTCGCTTCGTACACAAATGCACCATGTCCGTTGCTTGCTTCTCAACAAGAGCACAAGAGAGCCAGTGGTCGGTTGTTTGATGTGGTCTGCTTCTGGTCTCGCAGATCCAGGCATCCGTAGGTCGTGCTTAGCGCCATCTGCGACCGTCGCGGTCGTAGATGTACTCGCGCTCGTAAATCCGCTCATCGTACTTCGATCGTGGCGGCGCCGGGACTGGTGGCGGCGGAGGGAGCATCTTGGGTACGCGTTCGCGCTCCTCCCTCTCCCACTGGATCTCCCGGATGCGTTCTCTTCGCTCGCGCTTGATGTCCTCGGTAATCTCGACCAGCTTCAGCACGTCCTCCTGATCCAATTGTTAGTACATCACAAAGGCCGCTTCGCTTGCTCACTTGCTGACTTACGTAGCGTAAATACTCCATGACATAGAAATAGTCATCCGTCTCCTCAAACTCATAACCCATTTCATCGACGGCTTCTTTGATGACGAGATCCTTGGTGACCTCAGTCCACATCTTGTCCCGCTTACGCTGGCGTGGCTTGTCTTGAGAGCGAGAACGAGTGTGCGTGATCTTGATCTCTTCCCTCTCCTCGCGCGCTGGTGGCGCAATCGGTGGCGGCGGCGGCGGGAGTGGTGGAGGCGAGCGATAGCCATTACCGTACTCCGGTTCGTAGGCGCGGTCGCTAGAGATGAACTTGCCGCGCCTCTGACCATTGTACCTCTCCCAGGTGATCTCTTGAGCTCCTCCACCAACACCGTCCATGCGCACGCGTTCAGTGCCCGGTGGCACATCAACCAGGCTCCAATCACGCGTTGCACCGTTATACGCTTCGCCGGGGTAAGCACGGGAAGCAATCTTGCGATTGTAGTAGTCAGCCTCTGCTGCGATTTCATCATCGTATCGTCGTCGGGAAGGTGACCGGCGGCGTGAGACGACGCTGACGTCGCGTCTGCGATCCTCCCAGCGTTCGAGCTCACGGCTGGGCTCCTCACCCTTGATCTCCCTCTCGAAGGTGATGTCTTCTTCGTACGCTTTGCCATTGCGCGTGCCTTTTCGCTTGATTTCGACCTCCAGATTGTCTTCATGCGTCTCCTTGGGAGGAGGTGGCGGCGGTGGTGGCGGGCTGGGTGGAGCTGGAGGCGGCGGTGTAGGGGAGCGAGCACGCTCAACACCGTGGTCGATATGTCTGTGATGGGTGATGACTTCTTGAATGATTGGTGGGCGGTAGATGGGCTCCGGTGGAGGGGGCGGTGGAGGCGGAGACGGCGATGGCGATGACTCCGGCGATGGAGGCTTTGGAGGAGGCTCTGGAGAAGGGGTCCTCTCCTTGTTGCGACGGATGATGATCTCCTCCTTCTCATAGTCCTTGGGTGGAGGTGTCCTCGGTCGGCGGACAATCCATTCTTCTTCCTTCCTGGCAACCAGAGCTGGACGGCTGTACTCTCGCGGCGCAGGGCGACTGCGGCTCGACTCACGGATCTCAATCTCCTCCTTGAAGACTTCACGTCCGCGACGAGAAGGCGAGCGTCGCCTCTCGCGGAAGATGAGCTCTTCCTTGTCGACCTCTGTACGTGGTGGTGGCGGGGCGGGTGATCGACGCTCGCGAATGTCAATCTCCTCGCGATCAACCACCGTCCGTATCCGCGACGGTGGCGGCGCTGACGGTGCGCTCTTTTCAACGATGTCGATATCGATCTCAGTCTTGTCGACTTCCTTACGGGGTGGAGCAGGTCGTTCGCCTCCACCACGCCTGAAGCGGATCTCTTCAACCGGCGGTGGGCTACGTGGTGGTGGTGGACGGCTCTCTTCTCGCCGGATGTTGATGTCGATTTCTTCCTTCTCTCGTTCCTCGCGTGGTGGTGGCCGCGAGCGGGTCCGGCTGCGGTAGATGACCTCTCGGTCGTCTTCCTCGCCGCGTCCTCGATAGTCGAGTTCGCTGCCTCGGCTTCGAGGATATGGCGGACCGCGTTCCTCCTCCTTGAAAACGAACTTGTCCTTCTCGATCCGCTCCGTAGGCGCACGAGACCTCACTGTCTCCACGCTCCTCCTTCGAGTCGGTGCCCGACTGTAGACATCTTCTTCCTTGTCCTCTCTCACCACCAGCGGGCCCGCACTCGACTTGGCATAGTCCTCTCGTAGGAAGTCCGGCAGGCGGGGGCCTCGTTCTGTCCGGCGCTCGCTCACCACGGTGTCTCTCTCCTTGACCACCGTCTCCGCACGGCGGGATTCCGGGTAGCGCTCGCGAGAGATCTCCGCCTCCAGGTCATCGTAGTCCCGGTCTCTGCGAGGGCGGCGGTAGAAGTCGGTCTCGCGCTCCTCGTACCGCTCTGCCGTCGGATACTCTCGCGGATGACGAGACATGGTAAGGTCAGATGCCGTCTAAGAAAGTGAGGGGAAGAAGGATAGCAATCGATGCAGTATCGGAGAAGATGTGCCCAGTGACATGCGGCTCGGGGTGGGAAGACGTGGCAGTAGCAGTAGCCAGCTGCCGCTCTGTGTGTCAGGGGAGAGGTTGGAGCGAGGAGGAAGGGAAGTGGTGGCCGCCTCACTTGGCCCGTCACCTCCCAAGCAGCCAGTCAAGCAGCCAGTCAATCAGCCAGGAGGCCCGCTCTCGCTCGGGCGCTGTCTCGTGCCGCTACGGCAGCTGCGCAGCACACTGGGCGGCAGTGACCGGGGGGGTGGGGAAGAGGAGAGGCAGGTAGGTAGTAGAGCTGAGGCAGAGGAGGAAACAGAATGGAAGGTGAGAGAGCTGCGACACAAACGCATGTGCGGTCAGGAAGGTAAGCGTGGGTGCGGATGCCGTGGCGCGGTCCGTCGAGAGGTCTTATTCAGGTAGAAGGAGACGGGAAGCAGCAGCAGCAGCAGCAGTACCCGCCTCCCGCCTTTTCCTGTCCTGCGCCTCTCACTGCCTGCTCCTGTCGTTGCTCTGCTCTCGTGCGCTGCAGCGGATGGGACCGCGTCGTCGGTCGGTTGGGCAGAGCTGGCTTCAGGCTGGCTTCAAGCTGAGCTGGGGTCTCTGGTCCACGCCGGGCCCGCCTGCAGCCAGCACGCCCGCCTGTAGTAGACAGCGAGGTCAAGTGCGCTGACGCAACACCGCAGCCCGCGACCCTCCCCTCCATCGCCGGCGCCGGGCTGCAATTCGTGCACGACCAACTCGCGTGCGCCACTCACCATTCGCCACGAGAGACTGCAGTGAGGTGGGCATCAGAGCACCGGTAAGAGGGTGATGGGAGGGCGAGAGGGTGAGAAGGGCGAGAGGGCGAGAGGGCGGAGAGCGTGTGGGGGAGAAGACGAGACGCTGTCGTTTCCTCCAGGGTATTATTTGGGTATGATTTCTTGTAGAAAAGTAATGCTAGTTCAAACACGGCCATCTCAAAGTCTATCCGCCCTCCCTCTCTGTGCTCACTCCTCCCTCACCAACACAGAAGGCTGGGCCCGCGGTGCACGTCGACTAAGGTCTGACTCCTCCTCTGCCCGTCGGCTGCGTGTCTCGTGCTCTCGCATGTATCTCAAGGCATCATCCCTGTCCGCCGCTGCTCTTCCGCCTGCACTCCAACCTCCTACTACAGCGTCACTACACATTACCGTGTCCGCCTACGCTCGCTGGACAATGACGTACTGAATCAATCACGTTTCATGCCCCGTCTCGATTGTTTCGACCTTCACATGATGATGCCAGCTCATGCCAACAGGCCTCATGCCTCATGCCTCATGCCTCATGCCTCATGCCTCATGCCTCATGCCATCCCGCAGTGTGCAGCGCGGCCTGGGAGGACCTGCGGCACGACCTTCGGAAGCAGCTCTGAGCTGTCAGGGCAGGCGTTATTGCCTCGCGCGCCAGCAACCCAATCTTGAACTCGCCATCCATGAAACCGTTCGATCCCAATCTGAACAGCGAAAATCCAAGCCCGGCTGCTGTGGCCACAGTCGCCGCATCGAACGGTCCTGCTTTTGTGTCCTGTTTTGCCAAGACTTGGCCTTCGCCATGGCAACAACATCAACATGTCGGAAGATTCTTGACTGTGCAGTGCAGTGTCCTTTGACGCAAACCAGTTAGTACAACGTTTGTAGTAAGTCGATCGGAGGGAACGGGGCTGTGTCTTCAGCCATTGCTCCTGCTGTCTTCGTGAGTCACGTTTCCACTCATAGTCTCAACATATCAACTTTCAAACATTCGTCTCTCTCACACTGATGAATGCAAAATCCATCGAACATCGACTCAAACGACACAAACAGGCTGATGGCGCGTCCCAAGACCGAAATTGTCGAACTTGACGGTCGAACTTTGGAAGGAGGCGGCCAACTCATCCGCATAGCACTCTGTCTTTCAGCCCTCACCAGGACGGCCGTCAACATCACCAACATCCGAGGCAACCGAAGCGGAGGCGGCGGCCTGAAAGCCCAACATCTGGCCTGCGTCAACTGGCTTGCACATGCCAGTAACGCCCGTGTCCAAGGAGCCGAGAAAGGGAGCAAGACACTCCTTTTCCAACCAGGAGAGATCCACGGCGGCCTCTCACCCGCATTCAAAGAGCGCCGGCTCGAGGACGGTAGCGCAGGGTATGAATCCACCCTCGAGATCGGAACAGCAGGTAGCACAGGCTTGGCTCTGCAGGCCATCTTACCCTTCATTCTCTTTACCAGATTTCCTTCACCTCTGCCCGTACATCTCACACTGAGCGGTGGTACCCACGTGTCCGGATCGCCTTCATTTGAGTACATTCAACACGTACTCCTCCCCACAATCGCCAGACTTGGCTTTCCAGAGATCAAGGCGAGCCTAGCAAAACGAGGCTGGAATCAAGGAGGATCGAGCATCGGGAATTTCACCCTCGAAATTCCACCAAGAGGACCAACCGTCTCGCTTCCAGCATTCCAACTCGCGCCTTGGTCCCCAAAAGCCTGCTCCTCCTCCTCCTCCTCCTCCTCCTCCTCCTCCTCCTCCTCAATCGACGCGTCCAGAGCAGCAGCAGCAACATTACATGCCATCTTCATCGCTCCGACATCAACCCACGAGCATCTCCGTCACGTCCTCCCACCTTCCCTCCAGACCCACTTCCCCAACATACTCTCCTCGAACACGAACATAGAATGCCTCCCCTCCCTACACGCAAAACGCTTCTACCTCATCCTCATTTTCCAGCATCCCGACTACACCCTCGCCACCGACTGGCTCTACGACCGCAAAATCCCCCCCAACCACCCCGATCGCCCCGCGACGGAAATGGCAGACCGCGTCACCCGGTCCCTCGCCGCAGAAGCCGCGTCGGGCACGTGGGTCGATGAACATCTCCGCGATCAACTTGTGATTTTCCAGGCGCTCGCGCATGGTCGGTCGGACGTTTATCCTGGTCGGAAGCGGAAGACTGACCCGGAAAGTCAGGGGGATGGGCAACTGAGGGAGCCGAGTCTCCATGCCCAGACGGCCGAATGGGTCGCCAGGAAGATGTTGGGACGGACGTGTAGATTTTACGAAGCGGGATGTGAGGGTGTTGGCTTTGCAGTGGAAGGACGAGAGCGAGTTTTGGAGTTGGAGGCAGAGCTGAGGGCGTTGCGGATTGATTGAGTGATGGCGAAGGGATGGAGTGATGAACGTTTTTCAAGCGTGAGATTTGAGTCTCCTTTGAGTGAGCAGATGGGAACAGACAGATGGTGAGTCTTCAGCAGCCTCTACGTGGTACCGACAGAAACCTCCTGTCATCAGGATCTCCTCTGCCACGGCCGAGAGAAGGTCCATGAAGTGGATTCGGCGCCATCTACGCGTCGCGTCAGCAAGGCGCACACAGACAGCGCCAGAAATCTAAACTTTTCTCGAACCCTTGACACATGCACATGCTGTTCAGGGAGTACAGGTACAGGTACAGGTACTATTCAGAGACATCTCATCTACGCTAAACCGAACCGGAAAGAGTCCCATCCCGATCGCAACCCATTCGATGATCAATCAACGCCCATTGAACGCCCGTCCTTCGTGTCATCTATCGCTCTTTCTAGTGAGGGGGAAGGCTGTCACGCTTCCAGTCCCGCCTGCTCACAGTCTATCGTGCTTTTTATCTCGTGCTGTTTCGTGCTCGTTCATTCTCGCTGAATTGCAGTGGCTCCTGCCTCTGCCAGGAGTAGGCTTCGAGGCAAGCGCCTCGTATGATGTACAATCATGGCGCCCTTAGGTCACCGTGTAACCACCGTCGACGCGCAGATCGGCACCCGTGATGTAGCCTGCCGCGTCGCTGAGCAGGAACGTGACGGCTCCCATCAGATCCTCAGGAACACCCATCTTGCCGACGGGAATCAGGCTGGTCCACTTCTGAGCGAGATCGGGGTTCTCGTCGAGGATCTTCTTGGTTCTACCAATCAGAGTCAGTCAGGCTTCTAATGAAGACGTGCTTTGTGTCTGGGTGTGTGCTGGGGACGTACAGTGCGGTGAGCATGTATCCTGGGGAGATGCAGTTCACGCGGATGCCGGCGTGGGCCCACTCCACGGCGAAGGACGCTGCCAAGTGACGGACAGCTGCCTTTGCAGCGTTGTACGGAGCCTGCGGCTGTGGGACGTTCACGATGGCGCCGCTCATGCTACCAATCATGACCATACTGCCTTTGGCCTTGCGAGCCATGAGGTGCTTGGCAACAGTGCAGGCCCAGATGTATGTGCCGTTGACGTTCACACCCCAGAGCTTCTGCAGGCGGTCGGTAGGATACTCGATGGCGTCGAAGTTCTCGGTGAAGCCGGCAGAGGTCACGAGGTGATCGACCTTTCCGTGAGCCTTGAGGATTTCCTCCATGGCCTGATCGACGGAGTCGGTGGAAGAAACATCGCAGTAGTGAGCAGTGACCTTTGGCACCATAGTAGCTCCTGGGTTCTCCTTCTTGAACGTCTCCACGAGCAGACCGGCTTGCTTCTCGCCTTCTTCCTCTGAAAATTTGGTCAGCTACGTCGATTGGAATTCGTGGAGATTGAGTGTGCGTACTGTTGAGGTCGACGATGGCCACGTCGCACCCGCTAATGACGAGTGCCTGGCTCATGACCAAACCAAGACCACGCGCACCGCCGGTGACGACGCCGACCCGGCTCTGCAAGCTGAAGGAGGCGAGCGTGCGCCGGAAGTGGTGACCTCCACGGCCCTGGACAGGGCGGGAGCTTGGGTACTCCTCCTCTTCTGGGTGCTGGATCTTGATCTGATTGTCGGTGCGGGAGAATTGGCCCTCGTGCTGGTACGCGCCAGGCTTGCCCGCCGTCGTCATCTCGCGATGCTTGTCATCCTCCTCACGAAGCTGGAGGGAGGTACGGAACGAGCGCTGGGCGGTGCGGGTGATGGCAGCTGCGGTGGGAGGACGGACGGCGGTGGTGGAAGCTGCGGAGAGCTGGCGGATGAGGCTGGTCTTCATCATCGTGGCGACGTTTCTGGTAGGTTGTTGGTGGTGAAGTTGGAAGTGGTGTTTCTCGGTGCGGATGGTTGATCAGGAGAAAGGGAGGTGGAGAATTTCGTGGGCTTGAGCTCCGTCGACAACGTGGAGGATGCCAGGAGTGCGGTGGATGTCGGTGGAAGAAGTGGGGGGAGGAAGCTCTCGAGGTCGAGGTCGAGGTCGAGGTCGAGGTCGAGTTCGAGGTCGAAGGGGCCGTTTCAATGGCTCTCGGGGGAAAAGTTCCTGAGACAGAGCGTGTGGAGAGATCAACGACCGACGACGTTCTGGTTATGTCTGCTGCTTGGAATTCTCGAGGATCCAGGGTCTCTGGCGCCTACGGCGGAGTGATGTCAAGTGTCCACCCAAGCTCAACTCCTTTCGCAGCAACGAGACGGTGTGACAGCGCTGCAGACGATAATAGATGAGGCGAGAGACGCGTCTTGATGGGAGCAGCGCCGGGGAAGCTCGGTTGGGCGCAGATCAGAAAGGCATTCGCGCCTTGCATGCACACAAATAATTTGTTTTCTGCCTCTGCACCTGCGTCCACTCCCGTACCACGTACCTGTACCTCTCCCTCGCCCTCGACAGCTGATGACAGCTGACAGCTGACAGCTGGTGCCCGTTGACGTAGCTTTCGGTATCGTTCACCCCCACGACCCCGGTAGGCCCCCTGCCAGATCCCCAAGCCTAGTTGCCGCCGACATGTGCCTCCGCCATTGGTAGTCTTCCGATCGACTACCACCATCTCTCCGCGGTCTCCGTGGCATCTCCCTCCCGAGCAGGCACGAGTGAACCACATGCCAAGCGTCTTACACGCCAGAACAAGCTAAACGGCGTCCCTGCTGTATGGAGAGACTACTGCTTTACCGGCGCCTGTCTTCTTCATCGTACGATACCACCCATACGCTCGCCGGACGAACAGGGAACGGACGCGTCCAATGCCAGCATCGTGGAGAAGAGTACTCTCATCAAGTCATGCAAAAGAAGGAGACGACGTTGGAAATGGTACAACCTTTTTGGATTCAGGGCACTGCTTCGGCGACCCGGCTGCTTGGGCTGGTATTACAAGCTAGGTTTCGTCGGAAGTTCGCTGGTCGGAGAAGAAACACAGCTTGCGGACGGCAAATTGCTGTAGGTAGGTCATGGCTGACCGCATGGTGCCATGCGTTGTAGACAGGGACGAATCACGCCAAAGCCTGGGTACGCTGTAAACTTGCTCACACACGAGCGGCCGAGGAGATTGTAGGCCAGCTGCAGACACCGTGCATACATCGTTCATGAAGAAGAGAATCTTGGAAGATGGCTTGCTGTGTGCTCTTCAATGATGTCTCATACGACGCGGAAAGGCTGGGAGCAACAAATTAGTACGTACAGCACAAGGTAAGGATTGAACCTGGAAACGCAAAAGCAGGCAGAAAGAAAAGCTAGCGAAACATGAAAATCACTCAAGGACGAAACGTGACTTGGCTGTCAGTATGTGCCCAGTAGCACCGTCCTCGCACTGGGGCGGTGCGTTTTCCAGCTGAGTACGAAGAAGACGAATGAGGCTGGCCACTGACCGTCGTGCTGCACTGGATCTTCGATGGCATCTAAGTCAGACAGTGTAAATTACACCAAGGCCGCGCCATGCTGGACGCGCTTGACCTGTCCGACAGCTTCGATAAGATAATGATCGGTTGGCGACGAACTCGGTCTTAGAGCACTCGCTCCCTCCTACTGAAGAACGAGACCTACCGGCATATCATACGGACGATAGTGGCGACCACTTGGGCTGATTGCCCATGACCGGACCGACCCCAAGCTTGCAAAATCGCCTTGGCGCAAGTCGCCTCGATACTTCCATAAGGTAACTTAAACCTTCCATTACGTCGTCTCATTTCGTTGCAAGGCGCTCAGGAAGCGAGAAGGTCTGAGATGCATTGCGCCTGGCTTTCGCAATCATCGCTGTTCTTGGAGTGTGCACGGGAATCAAGACTTGCCATCATGCGGTGCCGTTGCGCGGAGGAGCGTTGTTGTAGGCAACAGTGCGCTGCTATGGCCATTTGGTCGTGTGCCCCCATTTCGCAAGACCATTGACCTGTCGTGTCTGCGGAGAACAATGTCCATGGTTGATTTGAGGGAGAACAGAGCCGATCTCGTTACTAATACACTACCAATCATGCGGATCCACCATCACGATGCCATCGGCATACTTTCCCGCGCGACATTCGATAATACCACAGACCGTGTGCCGTAGCGTAGACTGTTCCTTGACGGAGCCCGACTACTGAGCTCCAGGCCGGTGTTGAAATCTGCTCTACCTCTGGCAGCCTAGCGATCGGCATGGAATAGCATGCTTCACACAATAAATAGCCACGGAATGTCTCTTATTAAGACTCACGCCTACTAAATTGTAGTCAGAGTTTCGTAACAATACGAGCCTTATATAAACATCCTGCCTTGGGACCTTCCAAAGTTTCTTTCCAATTGGACCTTCATGCCTCACAATGTCTCATCGTTCAAGATGAAAGCCGGCCTTGTAGTAAGAAAGCAGGTCCAGACCTCTTCGACCGAGAAGGCTCCGGGCACAACTAAGTCGGGGAGCTTCCGAGATCCAACTTCAAGGCCCTCACATCCTCGGGGGCGAGTGAGCACTGGCACAGCTGGTATGCTTGGCGAAACCGGGTACCAAGGCCGGGATACGCCCACGTGCGTGGTGGAAGCATCGACCCGGCGCCATTCTCTCCGTTGCACATGACCCGTTGGAGAACCAATCAACATGCAAGTCATTTCATCTTAAAGATGACAACAAATCCAGCAGCGTCATGATGTGTCGAGTCAAGAAGCATCGGTTTGCCGAGTGCTGATTTCCCGAGGAGGCAGATAGCGATGGAAATAGCAAGCAGCTTTCACAGCATTGCAGATGACCGCTACGCCTCACTCCCACACTCCCACATGTTCGGCTGCGGGCCGGTCTGAGCGATGTCAGGCAGCGCGTGCTGCGAACCTTGAAGCGTCGACTAACGAGGGCAACCGCCTCTCCGGGTCTGTGGCCAGTCGATGAGGTGTTTCAGTTCGACGTCCCGATCGATTGACGAAAGCCTATGGTTTGTCGACTGAGATGGTCTTCTGAGGCTCGCGGGTGGTGCGCGAAACGTCTGCCTGCTTGAAGTGTCACCCAATTGGCAAGGCTGACGGGCGTGATGCTGCTCTCTGGGTTGAACGCAGATGTTGCTGCTATTCTTGCAGCACCAAGCCTCCCTCTTGCAAGCCGTAGCCGATGCCCATTGTCCCGCTAAGGACCTTGAGCGGATCGTGGCAGGGATGGTCCCACTAGAGATGGGTTGTACAACCGGTTTATACTCTCCGATGTTAGCTCTCAGCGAAGAAGTCAAGACTGGGAAGGGAGTCGACCGGCTGCTGCCCAAGGCTCTGCGCCGCTCGTTGAGAAGCTCGCGGTACTCCATGGCACCTGGTGGACATCGTGGCCGCTGTGCGCGGTTGGTGGGAAGACGTGGACGGCGCAGCCGGATGGTGGATGTGTGGGATCAGCAGGACATCTGTGCTCGCGCGCAACACCTTGTCGTGCTTTCCGTCTTTCTCCCGCCCTTCCACGGCTCCCAAACTTGCCGTCCCTGTTCGCACCAGGCCTCCTCTGCCCAATGCCCGCCGCGATGCCATCCTGTCATCGCTGTCACACCGTCCTGGCGGTCCACAGGTCCCAGCACACCGCGTGGCACTCCACCGCAGGACCACTTCGCGTGAGCACCGGCGTCTCGTGGAAGTAGTGGAGGCCTTCTAGCGACCTTCTCTAGCAGGATAGCGCCCCGGCGTGTCAGATTGATCAGAGACACATCATCATGGCCCGCAAGGCGAAGCCGGGCTAACGAGGCCACTAGAGGTGCCACATATCGTATGGCCGGGATGGATAATGCGACTACACTTGATGCAGACTTTGGAGTCTTGCCTCTTTCGACGAGCACGCTCACTCATGAAACAGGGATGCGACTGCTAACTTTTGCGATAATCCGACTGCTGCGCCGGGATGTATCGAGCTTGACTCGCCAGGTTGGTACGACGACGAGGCCTGGCTTTGGGTGGGATCACTGATGGGCACTGCCAACTCCGAACGACAAGACCAGATGTATCAATGTGTAGTAGTGGGAACAATGGGAGAACACCCGAGCGACCTCTCGCTCCTGTGCAGGCGGAGGAGGCGGCAGCAGCATTCGCATGTTGCAGGCCGTGGTGCAGGACAATATTGTTAATAATAATACATTTCATGAGAGTAATCCGCAACCTGCAACGGTGTCCGGGGCCTTGTTAGTGGGCAACGGCCGGCTACTGTTTTTGCTACACCCATGACACCAGATCTGCCGCCACCGTTCCGCTGCTTGGGTTCTTGCACACAATCTCTTCCACACTCGACTGTGGCTTTCGTCCAAGATGACGGTCCTGCGTTAGTTGGCTGTGCCAGGGTTATCCTATCCGTCAGAGGGTGCGTGCAGTGCGTGGGTGCTATGACTGCAATCTCTCACGTATGGACGAAGAGAACTGGAGCCTAGCCGGGTGTATATACTGCTCTTCTGTCCACCCTGCCACTGCTTGGACCTTTTCTGCTTGGACCATACTACACACAACACGTTCCTTCGAGTGGTCGACCAAGTTCGTTAATACCTACTACCTACGTTCATTGTAAAGCATTGATACACCTACAATCCTTCGATCTCCTAAGGGGTTCCACGGGCAAGCCTCGTCAGCTACTAATCGTTACTTGGCCTCGCAGGCTTGGGTGGTTGCGCGTATATCGCTGGTCGAAATACGCAGGAAGCGAACATCCCAAGAGCACTGTCTCGAGGCAGTTGCTGGAAGCATCGGAGACCGAAGATCGGGCTGAAGTTGGATTGGAAGGGGTTGCAAATCCTGAGAATACCGTTGGAGGAGGCAGACGTCTGAGACTGCATATCGTCGGACAAATCGCATTGTTGGGCCCCAAGACCGATTCTGGCATCCATCTCGAGAGCTCGTAGCGGCCACAGCTACGGTCGAAAGACAACCTTGTCAGGCCTTCCACAATCCGGATCAGACGCGGCGCCTAGGCGATTCCATTGACAGGTGATCGGAAGCGCCACGGAGAAGACATTAAGCAAACAACGACGACGACAACGCCGCATACACACAGCAGGCGGCTACGACGCTGATAGGACAGAGTCGCAGAGCAAAACCTTTGCATCCGGCACGAGCTAGGAGAGGATCTTCCCGCGCAATCATCCGTGCTGTCACTGGCCGGAGGAGTGCTGAGACGGATCGCTGACGGATCGCACGCAAGACGGTCGAGAGGAAGACCGTGGAATTGACCATCGGGACGGCCGGGCTGACCAGAGTCAGTCCATCATTCGACGGAGACCAAAGGCGTACGCGGAGGCAGCCGTGTGCGAAGAGTGGTGTGCGATCGGCTGTGCAATCGGCCAGCGAGGAGAGATTCGAATCATCTCTGACTTTCGCGCCTTCTCGTCGTCGTCACACGAGCAGTAGTAGCGTCGACGCAACTGCCCTCGTTCACGCCAGACGCAGCGTGAAGGAGGAGGAAGGGAGTGCGGCGACAAATTAAGATCACGCTAGTCCCAAACGGGGTAGCTTGAAACGGAAGGAGAAAGGCCGACGTGCTGTGGTGCTCCCCTACTTTTCGAACGCCTTGCGCCTTGACCACCTGCATCGCAACTCGAGCAGAGCCATCAACACCTTTTGTTTTCGTCCACTTCCACCGCCGCTCATTCCTCGCCACGCCCGCGACGACCGAATTCGAGGCATCGTCGACATTCAAGGTACGTTCAAGCCCCCTTCGCGCCTCCGACGACGCGCCCGTCCACGGCTCCTGTGCCCCTATCCTCGACGCTGCAGCACGCGCGCGCCGGGAAACAACAGCCTCCATCGCCGGTTGCACTGGCTGGACTCGAGCAAACGCATCCACCTTTCCTGAGAAGCGTGTCTGACCTTCCTGCTGCAGACTGCATTGCCGCACGATCGCCCGGACATCGCCTTCGAACGGGCCCATCCGTGACGAGGCCCGAGCCCAGCACATACCACCCACCACTTTTCCTCCATCCTCCTCGCACCGCCAGCGACGACGGACCGTGCGACGCTCCAGCACACAATCGTCTGCTGTTGCTCTCCCAAGAGCAATAACGTGGCCTGAGGCCTCATCGGGCGAAGAAAATTTCTGCCTCAGAGTCAGTCATACCAAACCTGTTGCTACGCGGCGTTACCTGCATTTGCATCCAGACGCGCCGCTGCAACTGAATGCCTCTACCGTCCATTGGACACATCTTGCTTGCGCCGCAGCAGAAGAGGAGGGACAGCTTCACCAGCGTCGTGGACATGGACCTCAATACCTTGCTAAATACTAACCGAGCCGCCGCAGGCGTCGTCAACCGAAACATGCAATACGAAGTACCTCTCCCCATCAACATGAACCACGACATGTCGAACACGGGCCACTACGCGCAGCAGAACCTCTACGTACCCAACACCAACAGCAGGATAAAATCCGAGACTGGTTCTGAGCGCGGCGTCTCCCCCCATACCTCCGACCACTCATCACGGTATTCCTCTCAGACCCCACAGAACAGCGGCGTCGCCTATCAACACATTGCGGCGCAGCTACAGAACAGCATGCGGTACCCCTCGCCATCCCAAATGCCCCAGCAGAATGGTATCTCCCTACTGCAGCATTCATACCACCCCAACACGACACAAGAGCAGACGTACCAGCAACAACCGGCGTCAATGGGCGCTGTACAGTCCGTTCAACAGACTCAGCCAGATCAGACACCGACAGAAGGCGGCCGGACAAGCACGGGCAGCAGTGGTCTCCCGAAAGCTTTCGCGTGCTCGACCTGCCAGAAGGGCTTCGCTAGGCGTAGTGACCTCGCTCGACATGGTGCGACAGACCCTCTGTTTCAAAACTTTCCAGATAAATTGCTGACTGTTTACGGCAGAGCGAATTCACTCTGGCGTCCGGCCACACGTATGCGACCACCCTGGATGCGGGAAGCAGTTCATCCAGCGCTCCGCACTCACCGTCCACTCACGAGTGCATACCGGCGAGAAGCCTCACATGTGTGAGCGTTGCGGGAAGGTCAGTGATATGGGTCAGGGTTCTCCATGGAACATGCTAACACACCCGTAGCCCTTCTCGGACAGCAGCTCGCTAGCCCGCCATCGTCGCATCCACTCTGGAAAGCGCCCGTACAAGTGCCCGTACGCCGATTGCCAGAAGACGTTCACCCGTCGTACTACCCTCACCCGCCATCAAAACCACCACACAGGTACCATTGAGGAGTCGGAAGCAGCCACGGCTGCTGCTCTTGCTTCGCGAGTGTCAATGCAGAACGCACGGTCTCGCGGCTCGGATGAAGAGAACGACTTCTCCGGAGACGGTAAGTCTCCGATGCCTCCACAATCCGATCGGCCTGCTTCTTTGTCGCCGGCAGCTGGTATGAATGGAGTGGCGCAACTCCAGAGACAGTCATCCGACTACTACATGAATGCCATGAATGGTGGTATGGCTGTTCCCGCACACATGCGTCCCGAGATGCAATCGACTTCGCGCGCTCAGTCTCCCCAACAATATCCCATGCCGGTCAGCACTCAGCAACAGCGTCCTCAACTCACCTCCAACCCATCCTCTGGTGGTTACAATCCTCCTCAGATCCTTGAGCCGCCGACGGCCAACGGTCAGCAGACGAGTGCCAGCGGCAATAACAGCCCACACATGAACGCCCAAGTGGGTGGATGGCAATCTCCGCACAACGGCATGACCACGGGACAGGCGACCGACTACAGCTATCCGGATGGCTACACCCAGGTCAACGCTGCGCAGATGTACTACCAGCCACGACCCCATAGCACCGCACCCATGGACTACCGCCAAATGCCCCAACAGGAGATGTGGACCGCTCAGCATCAGCAGTAGGACAGCGATGATGAGGACGGCTCACACTACCGACGTGAAACCTAGAAAGATATGGATTTCCAGGTCGGATACAAATGTCTTCGCAAGAGCCTTGTGCAAGACGGGAGACGTCGGATACTACGGTACCGATTGCATTTTCGTGGTCATTGCTGGCGTTATGGACTGGTCGATACCCCCAGTTTCGCTTCATGTTTCGTTCGGTTCGGCTGGGTTGTGTTTTGCTCATTCGGCGCCACTCTTCGACTCGTCTCGTGCGACGTGGAATATTCTGCCTGGTTCACGGATTGTGGATACCTATATCCCGTTTTCTCAGCACTACACTCATCTGCGTTGTGTCGGTTCAGTCCGGACGGGGTCAAATGCTCTGTCCCCTCTAATCTCTCATTACATGCTACTACGCGGCGCGATTAAAAAAAAGGGGGGGAACCTTCGAGGCGTTTTCGCTTTCGTCATGAGTGTACGACTGTGTGTAGATTTACCGGCAGCTTTGCCATCATTGGTGGTTGGAGAGGGAGAAGAAAATGAGAGGGTGCGTACGGCCCTGCTCTTCACTGTCTTAAATGTAATACTGCTTTGAAGCGAAGCGGGCGAATGGTCTGCACTTCTGGGTTTGAGCGAATAAGGCCGATCTGGGATATCGGTGCCACAATCACTGGCGCATTGAGGAGTGCTACTTGGCATGGGGACTGGAATGGGAATCGGGAAGCATGGAACAGGACGGGCCTGGTTTGCTGTCCTCGAGACTGTCATCGTCGTCAAGGGAAGAAATCTTATGTCACAGTAGAGTAATAGTATTGAAACCGAGTCCAAAGCGTTTCACTTGCAATCCATTACCGGCCTGGAGCCGCAAAGTATCAGATCACTAACGAGTAATGTCGTTTTCATGTGAGTTGATCACGTGCGCGATCGCGCTAGTCCTGACGACTGCCTTGTGATTGGCTGTCAGCGAGCGTAAGCACAACCGCTCGAGCACAACAAAGTTCGTTGCCTTGCAAACTCCCACAGCAGGACATCAACCTTTCTTCTCGCAAACAAGGAACGACGAGCGTGTGCGACACCACGAACTTGTCAACCGCAAACAATCGAGAACACACGCGAGCAAGAGCACCTCCACGCGTACGTTGTGTGCTTCAGCTCTTTGTTTCGGCATCGCGAGGAAAGGCAGCCCCACCTAAGAACCACCACCCGCATCCAAACATCCCCGCGACGACCTTAAGACCGCCGACGATTCAACCCAATCCCTTAGTATCGATACCGCACCTCACGATCACCACGGCCATCTCACCTTTCAAGATCGATTCCAGTTCGCCGCTCACTCGATCCGCCGATTGAATGGCGCGCACAACTGCTCAGACCACTTCTGACACACCCGCCGCTGCATCATCTGCTGCGCACCCAAAGGGAGTCACAAAGCGCCGCTCGACTCGGATAAACTCGAAGGTTTCGTCACGCTTGGCGGCTTCGGCGAGCAGTAACAGCTATCTGCAGAGCATGGCGAATGAGGCCGCGGAAGTTGTCGCTGGCGCTGCGAGCAGCAGTTGCAAGGGAAAGGGAAAGGGCAAGGTAGTCGAACAGCCGCCCTCAGCAGAAGACGACGATTGGGATATGTTGGAGGACATTGTGAATGAGACACCTCCTGCCAACGCAGTCTGCCCTATCATCGACAAGGACACGAAGCCGTTCCCTATCATGGAGCTGCCCACGGAGATACGCCTCGAGATTTACCGCGCGTGTCTGACTCGACCATACAATATCTTGCTGTCCAAGAGAGAGCAGCCGCCCCAGCCAGAACCCGAGACTGAAGCCGATAAGTGCAGCCTTACGCTCTCCGATAGCCAGTCGGACGCGGACGACACCGACGAGGATGCGAGTGTGCGCGTGAGTACGCGTACACGCCAGCAGCGTGCCTCGACTTTCCACAGCCATAATGCGACTCGCTCTCCTTTGACCCACGCGCCCCGGGGTCTGCTATCTCGTGGTACCCGTCCCATCCGCCTGCTCTCTAGCCGCTCTGCACCCGGCTCATCATCTGGAAACACTGGCAACAATAATAACAACTCTGCACAGAGCTGGCAGCCTCAGGCCAACAATGGTGTTGTCTTCCGTCCAGCTACGTCCCGCCCAGCTCGGAGGAACGTGGGGAATACACGCAGTGTGATGGTGCCTCCTGTCAACGAGCCACCCCGCCTCCAGACCGAGGATCCTCTGCTCGTCAACATTTTGCGCGCTAGCAAGGAGATTTACAAGGAGGCACGCAGCGTACTGTACAGTGAGAACCTGTTCACCTTGGATCTGAACACGGCCATGCGAACTCTCGCTTGCCTGCACCAGCGATCTCGACGCCAGATCAAGCATGTCGAATTGGAGATCCCGACTTATAACGAAATTCTGGAGCGCTTTCAAGAGACTGTGCGCCTAAGCTTGCGATATTGTTCTGGTCTGAAGAAGTTTGTCATCGACATGCCGTTCACTCTGCCCGGCGCCGACGGCAGCGGCACGACTGGCAACACTACTGTCTATGCCAATGGATTCGACATCCTGCGCTGGCTTCCACAGGAATGTGACGTTATTCTGACCGGCAACACGTGTGTGGAAATTGACACGGTCGTCAACAAGCACCTGCAATTGGCAAAGACGCTCGACAAGGTGAGTCGCGCCAACTTTCAGTATTGCAATGTTCACCAATACTGGGGTGGTCTGGGAGTCGCAGAAGCAGCAGAATAATGGACAGCAGTCCAACTCGCTGAGTGCTTCCCAATGCCAATCCTCAACTCGTTCAATCGAGTTGACTACGTGGCTTTGGGCGGATTGACAACATAACATTACTCTGCAAATTCAATTCGACCCCTTCTCTTTTGTCAACTTCTTTCGGCATCATTCACTTACATGGCTTTGTCCGTGTAGCTCGCGTATGCTCGGCGGCAATTAATCTCGAACGACACCGGCTCTTCGAACCACAATACTACATTAGTTCCGGCTGCATCGAGCAGATGATCCCTCGGCCACGCGGGATAAGCACGATGATTTACTTTTCTGTTACTACGATTTGGCTATCGTTGTCCTCCACAAACCTTGGAAAAAGAAACCACAACCAAAAGAGATTGAACGAATGCTTCAGCAGCGACTCAGCGGATTCCAGCAAAGGGCCTTTGCTGTCGTTGCGAGAGCTCGCTGGAGACTCCTCCCATGTGGAGGCTTGACAACGGCAAACGTCTGCGATACCAGCCGATTGATTCATCGGCTCGACGACTTCGACGGCGGTGGAAGGGAAAATTGGGGGAGATGCGGTGTGTTGAAGGTGGCGAGATGGAGCAAGTGTCTGTTTCTTTCTCAATAGGACTGTGTGACTACAATCGATGTGTACTACGAAGATCGGATATAAGAAGTTCGCGTTGGAGAAAATGCATCGAGATTCTTGGAGGTCTCAGAAATATGTTTCCTGTTTCCAATCTCGTTTCCACCCCGTGATCTTGATTCTTTCTTTAACCGCGGTGACCTGGCTCTATGCCAGAACATAATATCATATTCTATGGATATATATGTGGATACATATAGACATATGTGCCTGTGCTACCCGCGTATAGGAAGAAGAGATTGACTGGATCTTTACATAATGACCTTCCTTTTTCCTAATCTGTGTCTATCTGTCTACCTACCTACCTACCTATTTATCTACCTACCTACCTATCCTATCCTATCCTATTCGTCAAACGAAAAGAATCACGTCCCCCTTTTCATGTTCCTTCATAGACATGTGTCCCTCTTCTCTAAGAGGGGAATAGTCATGATTCCGTCTATCTAGTCTATCCTCTGGATTTCATTCCTTTTTCGTCTCGGTGTCTTTTAGGTAATAAGTTAGATTTACTCAACGAAGACCGGACCGGGGGGGGGGAGGGAGGGGCGCGTGATGGAAACGACTAGAGTTTAGACATTCAGAGGATTGGTTTCAGATGCGCGAGAGAGAGAGAGAGAGAGAGAGAGAGAGAGAGAGAGAGAGAGAGAGAGAGAGAGAGAGAGAGAGAGAGGTGCTGAAATTATAGTATAGTATAATCGGCATACTATAGTCCCCATCGCGCGATAGGGCGACCGACCTCGAAAAACAGGGAGGGAGTAGGTGATATCAAGGGTTAGGGTTAGGGTTAGTGGGGTGGTCGACAAACACCTCATCACGTCGTGATAATCTGATCTGACTTGGATGATGATGCAGTAGTATATGATACGCAATGTTTTTGACGGAGAGAGACTCTCTTCCCCTCATCCACAAACTTGATTCGTACTTGGGAGCTGGCTAGCTAGCTAGCTACATGTCTGTTTCGCCTCTTCTAGAAGAGTTTAGTTACGAGTAGTAGTAGCCCTGCTTTGTCGAATTATGTCCTTCCCACCCTTCCCCTTCCCCCTTTCCTTTTCCTTTCCGTGGGTTGTGCTGAAAAGGTCAAAAAGTTCATCTGTTCAAAGCAAATCGCTCGAAAGGGAAAGGAAAAAGTCTACATCGTCATCAGGTCATATCAAGTCTTTCAATCCTCGGCTCCACGCGGTCGAAGAGACGCGAGGTGAGCCGTCTTCCTCACAGTGATTGTGGTCATTGGTCGGCTTGCTGGTCTCAGGTCTTCTGTGAGACTTGAGCAAATCTCTTGGTGCAGTTCGGCTCGAACGAAGCCTCCTGTACGGCTCAGTGTTCGCGAGAACGTCTCAGCGAAGCCGCATAGTTGGTGTTCAGATAAGGATGGACCGTTACCTGTATCCGGCGGGCGAAAGCATCCATTTGCTTTTCAGACGCAGAATGATACTGCCCAGTGTCTTCTTCTGGCCAGAGGCAAGCTATCGGCGACGCGCGCTCAAACTGGAATCTGCAGCCTAAACATGCCACTGCACCTCCGTGGCGATACATATCCGCATTGAACAACGCGCCGGCCATAGATTTATTGCGGACCGTGCCCTCTCGTCATCGCATCATGGACTCGTCATGGTGATAATCCAAGAGAAGAATATAGTCGCATGTCCGTCACACATTCTTCATCTCTGGCAGAAGAGTTCAATTTCTCCCATGCCGCCGATGCCCTCGCCCTTCTGCTCCCTCCAGGTTTCGAAGGCAGTTTGGACATCCTCATCAGATTGAATGCTGACATAATCGTCTTCATCCAGGTACTTGAGTTTGACGGGAATCTTCTCCGTAGCATCTGACGGCCTTCGATCCTGCAAAGTCAAATTCGTCGATCTTTGAAGTTTGGCATCGATCCGATCCTTCAATGTCTGGTATGATATGGTTGTGGACACGACCAATGTCAGGGTCTGTGCCGCCGATGGACACTGCACCTTGACCTTCAGCTGTGCGGGTGTTGTTGGTGCTGGTTGTACTTCCGATGGCGGCGGCGCAAAACCTCCCTTAGGCCCCACGGGCGTTATCGCCCTAGAGCTGGGGATCTGCGACATTGTCGGCCGTTGCAGTGCATGGCCGTACTCTATTGGTGATGTCTCCTGCTGCATGGAGTACTGTTGCTCCCTGAGCATTTGCGGTGACCCTCTGCCCGCGGCACCATTCACAAGGTTGGGGGAGTTGTTCTGACTTCTATTTGGATTCTGGAAGCCGGCGGGCATTTCAGGTACGGGCGGTTGGCTGCCGTTTCGTGGAGGCATCCGCTGGCCATTATGAATATCTGGGCTGCTTGCAGATCGATTCCGTGGTCCGGGCATTTGCAAAGAGCTGTGCATACCGGCTCCCGGGGGATAACCCCTTCCGACTGGCACTCTTCCCGGCGGGCCGTAACTGTTCTGAGGGCCATTTGCCTGCGGTCTGCCCATCGCAGGCGCGGTGAACCGAGATCCTCCATGTCCTTCTTCGTAGTATCCATTTTGCGGCATTGGCTGACGGGGGAATGGATACATGCCGGAGCTGGCGCTGGTTCTCGAGGACATGGGTGTTTCGGGGGCGGGAGAAAAGTAGCTGTCCGTGTTCCGGTCGCTTCCGGGCGACGCTGCTGCTTGTTGCAACTCTCGCGTTCGGAGCGACAGCATAGGCTGTTGAATGCTCCCCGACGGTAGCCGAGGTGGTTGCTGTCGAACTGAGTGAACCGACTGGGTGCTTTCACTTGTGGTACTCCGTGAGCGAAGGGAGCTGGAGCTACCGTTTCGGCTTTGTGAGAATCCACCGGATAACGGGTACCCGGACGAGGAGCCGGACCAACCTGTGATGGTATCAAGGTCGTCTTCTTCATCTTCCTCTTGATAAGGGTTCTCCAGGGCGGGTTGGTTTTGCATGTAGGTGAATTCGGTCGCGCTGGTACCGCCGGTCCTAGCGCCTTCGCTCTGCCTGGCCGCCGAGACTCGTTCGCGATATCTCCTTCGCTGGACATCAATCTGTTGCGCCCATTTACGTAGCGCATCCTCGGTTGTAAATCGAATGATGAAATTCTCGATGCTTGGATCCCCCTTCCAAAAAATCTGACAAGTATATGAGCCTGCAATCGAACCAAATTAGCCATATCCTTTTCAACATACCGGATCACTGCTGCGAATCGCTAAATGCGACGTGTTAGAGGTGTTGCTCATACCGGGTTTGGCCAGCGAAACCAAATCAGTGACATTCTGCATGAAAATGCGTCCCTTGAGCTGCAGTTTCGGCTTGCCCTTGTTATCGACAAGGCTCTTGTTCGACAGCTTGTTCTTGGGCTTGTTGATGTCAATGTTCTTGCAGCACAGAAGAATTGTCTCGAAGAGATAGACGTGATACTGGAAGGATTGCTTAGTAAAGTTAGGTGAGAGGCGAGGCGCATGGCCGGCGGTTTCATCACTCACTGATCGCTCTCCGTCCTTGCCGTTGGCCAAGTTTTCGCTCTTCAGCACCGTAAATGTACCGTATAGCAGAAGTTCACCGAATACCTCTACCCGGTGACCCTTCCAATCTTCAACTCTCTGCTTCAGTTCCTGCACAGCTTCGATCTTCTCCTCCTTGTCGACGGCCTTGTTCGTTCTCGTAAGAACGCCTTGCGCGGCTTCCATTCCGTTGAGCAAATCTTGTCTCCGGTCCTCGTCGAGATCTCCCTTCTTGTACAGCTGCTCCAGAAGTAGAGGGTACTTTGTTAATCTCTGGAATGGCTTCATCAGGAAAGCGCAAAGTGAAGTAGGCGACTCGACAATCTGCCTCATCTCAAGACTCCCTCCAGCTTCTCTCAGTTTCGAGAATCCAGCAATCACCGTCTTCTCGCATTTCTTTTGGTTCGCGATATAAGGCTCGTAGACCCTGAACGCGTCGGCGTAAAGCAGAAACAGCTTGCCCCAGTTCTGTTCATCCTCTGACAGGGCATTGGTCTGCTCCACGCGGATGAGGAATCGCCTTTGGAAGTCCAAGAGTGCGTTCAGGTTGAGGAAGATGTCGTGCACAGCGTCTCCCGGAATCACACCTTTCTCCTCCACCAAATGCTTAAAGGCTTGAAGGAGCTCCAGATGTTGTACGTATGTTCTCTCTGTCTTCACCAGCTCGGAAACGATGTGTTGTCTCTGAGTCCGCTTCATCCCCTTCTCTGCCTGCTCAAAGTCGGACGCTGTGGGCCGTACATCCTCCACCAGGCCGCGTTGGACCAAGACATCGAGCACACGGTTTACTACCCTGGCAACCTTGACGAAACCCGTCGTGTCATCGCCGTACAGGTCGGTGACGATGAAGAGCTCATCCTGGGGTATCTTCAAATCGGAGTTACAGGCCTGGATGAACTTGAAAGTTGCGGCCTTGGCCTTCTTGTCCTCCTTGACACCTTGCGGTAGACTCAGCGGCTGGGTGGGTCGCAGGGCGTTGTAGAGTAGCATGAGCGGGTATCCTCTGCGGAAGGTCCTCCATAATAATGTGACGGGGTCTGTATCTTCTTCGGCCTCTTCTTCCTCCTCGATCAAGGATTCGTTGAAGCCGGGGACACCGAGCAGACGCTGTCGCAAGGCGACGCAGATCTGGAAGAGAGAGCTGCTGGCGTCGGCGAGAGAGTTCATGATGTGGTTATTGGGTTTGACGTCGCCGGCGTCGGCCAGGCCATTGGCGACGGCGCCCGCATTGGGGGGCATGGGCGGAGGGTTGAAGAGGGTGGAGGTGGTTGTGCCAGTAGTGGCGTCGCTGGAGCGGGAGGAGGGCTGAGAGTGCAGCGACTGAATGGAAGCGTGGGAATGCATGAGGTTGTGCGCCGGCTTTGCGCCGGCAGTCATGTTGGGGTGGTGGTGTAGTCTAGCGGCGAAGTGTTGGACACCGACTCCTGGATGGTTCAGGGCTCGGTCTAGTGCGTGGGGAGACGCGATCTCCATAGTCGCCAGCCTCAGGCGGCGGCAGGCTTCATGGAGGGATGGGGCGACAGTGAGGGCGGGGCGGAGAGAGAGAGGGAGGGAGGGAGGGAGGGGTGGCAAGGGCGGAGAGGGAGTTGGCAGGAGGAGGGAGCGGTTTGGCGGTCGGAAGCAAGGGTGAGTTGAGTACAGTACCGCCTAAGGATGGGTCTGGTGGGAGGGAGGCCAGGCCGGAGAGAGGAGTGTGCGTCGGCGCCAGAGACGGCCCGGGCCGTCCGATTTGCCCAGTTGAAAGTTCCAAAGCGCAACCAGCGACCCCTCTTCCGATGTGCCCACCTCAGCACCGTGCAGTCTATATCTCCCTTTTCCACCTGTTTTGGTTTATCGCCCGTCTCCTGTCGGTTGTCGCCTGTCGCCCGTCGCCTGTCGCCTGTCTCCTGTCGGCTGTCTCCTGTCGGCTGCAAACGGGTCGTGACTCTCTCCTCGCGGCGTGCGGCGTGCGGCGTGCTGCTTGCTGGCCGGGTGGGTGTACTGGCTGCCACGACTCCAGGCTGTGATGAGGGCGGGCGGGCGAACGAACGAACGAACGAACGAACGAACGTGACGAGGTGCAGAGGACGAGAAGGGCAATCGAATTGGAACTCGAGGGCGTGGAGGGCAGAGCACGGGAGGGATACGGGATACGGGACGGTGGGGCCCAGTAAGCCTGCGATTGTTCACGCCCGACTGTGCGACCATGGGCAGACCAAGTGCGGGCGTCGGGTTCTATAGTACGAGGTGGACACACACAATAACGACGGATCAATCAATCGATAGTACCAAGTCTGCTTGTTGCAGGGTGTCTCGTCTGGCCTCCTGCTTGCCTGCGCCGGAATGACAGGCCGACTCCTTTGTTGATGCGACGCGCGCCGGCTGATTCGCTGCTCACGCGAAACACTCCCTAAACGCACTTCTTCCCCGTCACACGGCGGCCTCACAGACATATTATTCCAACCCTGTCCTGTTCAAGCAGCAGACTGCACAGACGATCGCGGTGATTTCCTGCGAATTCTTGCTGGATGCGCGCAAGGCCGTCATCGATTGCCCGGATTGCCTCTGCGTCCCTGACTCGCTCACGCTGCCATGATCGAGCCTTGATGCCTGACCTTTGCTTGAGGGTAGCTCCGACGGCACGTGACCGTACGTACGGCCTGT